GTGTGGAATCAAGAGGGCTACAAAACTGTTATTTCGGTTTTTCGAATTTTTTGGATTTTGACCCCCAAAAATAAAAAATAGATGTTTTGAATATAATAGCCAAAAAATCCAAAAAAATTTTTGAATTTCGAAAAAAGGAATATATGTGATAGTCCCTACCGCCTTCTATGTACATACTAAATTTGAAATCGATACCTCTTTTTTTGGCCAAGTTATAGCGAAAAAGCTGTTCAAAATTGATGACGTCAAATTTTCAAACTCAATTTTTAGCAATTCTAGACCTCGTAGCGCAAAACAAAGAACACCATTAGACTCCCCGTGATGAGCTGCATCGAATCGATACCCATTTTATGCAAAAATAACAAACTTTGAAATTTGACCTTTTTTGACCTGACCTTGACCTGACCTTCACCAGAAAGTGACCTAAACCGTACCTGATGGTCTTATAACCAACACCATTGAGTTGGAAATGAAAAACTGGCCATAAAACATGCATCGCATAACCATAGTAAAGTTGGGCTCATGTGGTGACCCTTGGTGACCTTTGGTGACCTGACCTGTGACCTGACCTGGTATGACCAGTGACCTCTAATAGCAACATATGTACTAGACAACTGACGCCTTATCGCTGATTTTCGACAAAATGCGTTTTACTCGGCGTTATAGCGCTTTCCCTAGAAGCCCCGTGAACGGTGAAACATTTTATCTTTGACCTGACCTGTGACGTCATCGGTGACCCCGAGGTCAATGAAATTTGGTTTCCTTCAACAAAGTTGACAGGGCTATCGAACGCCGTTTGAATTTTCCGGATCCGTCCAGTAGTTTCGGAGATACGGGGGGGGGGGGGAAATGCCCCCCCTAGAGCACTTCACGGATAGGCTTTTTAGGATCCGGCCCGGCCCATATCCGGCAAGTCATATCCAGATCCGCCCATTATCCGCCTTTCTTTGAATATCAGAATCCGGCCCACCCATGGCCCGTATTTGCAGCCAAACTTCCAAAAAATATCCGTAACAATCCGTTTCACCAATAACTGGTTTCACCCAACACTGGACTAGCAAATTCATTCTAAGGGACCAGACAGCCATACATCTCACAGACCATCATGGTTCCAAAAACCATGCTTATAAACCTAAAACCACATAAAAATCACCACATTGGTAAACTAGGTATCATCCTGCCGCTTAACACATTAGGTTAATTTTTAACTTCAATGTTGAATGTTAAAATTTTGATCCGTTTTGATCCGGGTTCAACCTTCAATTCCCAAATCCGGCCCGCCCATATCCGTTCTTTTTTTAACAAATTTAGAATCCAATCCTATCCGGCCCGCGGATTTATCCGTGGATAACGGACTTATCCGGCCCATGAAGTGCTCTACCCCCCCCCCCCCCCCCACCGCGCGGAAGGTGGCTGGTAGGCCCACCGCCTGCCGGGTTAATCAGGAGTTAGTGAGTGACGTAAAAGTTTAATGCCCGTAGTGACGGCATAGGGCCTAGGGGAGACTGGGGTTGATTGTAACAGTTTTTGTATTTTATCATCTGTTACAAAAACGTTCGCAGCTATCATTCTCTTTCCTTCATTTTCAAGTACTAGGATGTTTAACATTTCCCAAATAGCATCTTTTTTAGGTCGAAATTGTGGTCCGAAAAAGTCAGTTCAGCTGTTACAATTCACAACGGATACCGGGTAAAGATTAACACCACCCGGGGACAATTGTAACATGCTACTTATAGGTTACAGAAATGCAATGTTTTCTAAAATTTTGATTTGTAATGTACTGTAATGTAACAAATGTTCATCTCCTCACACTTGGTAAGTACGGTTCTTCTCAGGGGAAAACAATTTGAACATCGCACTTATACTGAGTAGTAGGTAAAGTAATCTTGCTTATACCGCGCCGGGGCTGGATGGACTTCTCCCTCGGTTTTTCGCGAACAAATCGCGTGAAAAGCTGCTGACTGCGACAAAACTTAATCCTCGCCGGCACAGGCCATTTTGCGTCCTTCGACGGCACAAGGGGGGGGGGGGGGTTGGTTGGTTGGTATGACCCCCCCCCTCGCGTTTGGCCCCTGATCGAGCTAGAGCTTCGCGGAAAAAAAAACGAGCGTGTTGCCCGTCACGAGAGGAAGCCGATGATACCCAATTTTAAGGTCCTAGGTCATCGGGTGATCTTCCAGGTCAGGTCAATGACCCGAAAACCGGGGAAATCGGGACCTGTTAGAAAGTCGTAAAGTGTGGCTGCTATGTGGTTTTCCGGGGTGCTGATCGCGAATATCGTGTTAGTTTTGATCAGAGATGATGTCTTTAAGCATTGAGACCAGATCGGGTCAGGTCAGGTCAGGTCAACCGGTAGGGGTTGTGACGGGTATTCGTAATACGTGTCAACCGCCTCTGACAGCTTCGTAACATGTTACGAAGGCACCAAAACTACTTCGTAAATGTTAAAATGGTTGCTAAATTCGAATTTAGCTAAAAAAACTGGCCTAGAAACATGTAAAACTCGAAAAAGTGAACCGAGGTCACCCGAGGTCACCAAAGGTCAATGACCTGACCTGACCTTCAGGTGGTCTGACATGACATCAATGACATCAATGACATCAATGACCTGACCTTGACACCCACCCTAATGTATGGGAGCAACATCAAATCACATGTTTGAACGTTTGAAACCACGAAAAGCTTGCAAACGCGCGGCTAATGCGAGCCGACATACGCCGAATCGCGATTCCGGCCAAACATGGTCTCGGAAAAGAGGTCACAGGTCAAAGGTCATTTGGGTCAGGGTCATGAAATTTTCAGGGTAGGTGTAAAATTGATCAATGCGAGGGTACTGAAAGTTTCGTCGCGATCAGCCGCTTTTTACGCGAGTTATTCGCGAAAAACCTTAGGGGGGGGGGGGGTTTGCATCAACCCCCCTGTGCCGGCGAGGGTTAAAGTTCTCTTGATTCTAGCAATTTTACACCTAGGTACCTTGACTATTTGATGACCTTGACCTAATGGCCTATGACCTATAACCTGCCGCATTTGACCCTTGCAAAAATAGTACAATTGTTTCCGTCGCGCCGTGACATTTTTTAGACGAAACTGGCGCAAAAAGATGTTGCATGGACAGCATCTAATGCCTTCAATTTATGGACAAGAAGCCTGCCAACGCTTACATAAAGTCTGAATTCGTTCTTTTCAATTGCGGGAATCAGCTAATGAAATATACCTAAAGGCATAAAAAATTACAAAATGCTCTGAAAACATTACTGTGCACACTGCACAGCCATCGACGTCTAATCGAGAACTTTCGACATTTTCTCCGCCTTTCTACGACCACCCGTTCGGAAGTTGGACAGGGGAGGGGGCAGAATCTGCTCCGGCGCGGCGGGGCGCGTATAGACTAAATGCCCAGCGGGTACGGGTTGCTGAAGCAGCGAGTACTTTCATATCTACTGTAAGTTTTGGGTCAGTAAGTGTCTAAGTAATACATCTTTTGGTTTAGATGCTGGAGGAAAATGAGAGGGGTAGAACCTAAATTCCAGCCGCGGGCTAGCCCAAGAAAGATAGACGGTAATTTCAAACGTCATCTATTTGAAGAAATGGCATAACGCGATGCCGGCGCCTCTCCCCCACTGATACATAACTGCGCCGCGCGGGTGACTAATGTCAGTATGCGCATGCATAATTCAAAACCCTAGGAGAGCCAGCAGCAGCTACGGACTGGAAATGTCTGGTAAACGGGAGGCTGTTTGACCCGGTATGGATCGGCTGCGGCTTGAATTGCTAAATGATCTTGAACCGCGCTACTAGGTACAAATGCAGCGGCAAACTTGCAATAACGGATAAATGCTGATTGCTGAGGTTTGTTTACCGTTTGCGGAAAAAAACGAGCGTGTGCGCCGTTACGAGACGCAGAGATTGGTACCCGATTTTAAGGTCCTAGGTCAACCGGTGACCTCTGAGGTCAGGTCAAGTGCCCCAAGGTACGGCTCAGTTTTTGGTGAATAACTTCGTAAAAAACGGCCGCAGAGCCGCGATTTTGGCAGCATCGTGTTTGCCTCGCTCAGGCGCGTCGAATGATATACTTTTTGTTTGGGCCAGGTCAACTTAGGGTGTTGACCTCAGGTCACGGTCAGGTCAGCACCCCCAGGTCACGAAGTTGGTCGAAAGAGGTCATGTCGCATATCATTCGATTCGGCAGGTCTTCCTGAGTCCATTGGTGGCTTTTTCGACTCGCTAGCTCAATTTGATCAAGAGTTATTGACGAAAAACTAATACGACCTTGATGACGTCATAAATGACGTCACGCAAGGTCAAGATGGCAAAAGTGACGCATCTAACCTAGCAAGGAGTGCATCAAATCACGATTCTGTGTGTTTGAGATAGTTGGAGATCGTTCCCAGCGCCAGAATAGCAGTTTTCATTTTTGACCATTGACTTATATTGGTGAGGTCACGAAAATGACCTGACCTCATATGACCTTTAAGAAAAATCCGAGATATACAAGTTGTGAGACTCATAAAATGGATACTAGATCCTGCAAGTTTCATTTCCCTGTGACATCTCCTCTGGCAGTGAAGGCGTTGCGAAGTTGCGACATCTGAAGACCGTGCAGAGGTTCACTTATGACGTCATAGGTCAGTGACCTGACCTGACCCAAAAATGAGGTTGGTGTAAAAAGATCCGGCTTGAATGAAAGGTCAGGCATGCCAAGTTTCAGCTCTCTATCGCCAGCGTGTTCGGAGCTATCGCGAACCCCCCCCCCCCTCCCCCTCGGTCGGCGAGGGTCAACTTCTCTACCCAGCAGGGCGCGCGTGAAGTTCACTAATAATGTAGTCATTGCTAAACCATGGGAACATGCTATGTATCAAGATATCATTCGCCGTCCAGCAGGCCTCTGAGATTAGTCTTTCTTCAGCTATCCGGAGCCAATACCTTCGAACCGAAGAGGCATACATAAAACTTCCAGACCGGATGGGATACCCTCCACAGTGAGTACAACCACACCAAAGTTTACGAATCATAAATCGTGTATTTTATCGCAACTTATTGGTCTGTTCCCGATAAGTTGCACCACATAACAAAAAATCATCACTCTCCTTCTTACAGCGCGCGATGGTGAAACAGAGCGAATACGCACATTTGTTCCTTCAGGCATCTCGTACGACCCCACACGCTTTCATCTCAACACAGCAATCAGCCATCGCCCGAGTGGGTACAAAAAGGCGCCTTCAGAGGCCATGAGCCATCCCCAAGCATACTGCAATCGTGTCGTAGTCGCGTTAAGGAGCGACTTTCGCCCTACCTCCCCAGGTTTGTCCCTATGACTGCATCGCCCCCCCCCCCCCCCCCCCCCGGTTCCCCCACATCCTCGGACTTCGGCATTCGGCAGCCTACACAGATGACGACTGTACCGAGTTGTTACACGATCGCACGGTTCAGCACCCCGCCCTTCCACCCAAACCCACATATATAACTCTGGAGTCTGAAGTTATGGAGACGCTCCTAAACTCAGCACACATGCACTCTTCACTCTGGCGGGACATATTAGTACCACACACAGTTAGCGGGGCCGGCGGGGACGACTGAACGGCAGTAATCCACACGGTCCCGAACCGACCTAAGGAACCGACCACGTCCTACCGACCATGCAACGACTTACACAATACACATCATCCAACCAGCCATACAGCATGTGACGCCAATGTGAAAGAGCGAGTCAACAGACCAATTATTGCCCTGTGTGGCGCTTCATCTAGCTCATGATAAATGCTAATTCAAAGTAAAAATATGGTAAATTACAGCACAAAATGCTTGGTGATAAATAATTGATACTATCGCCGCCCGTAGCGTTCTGCGCAATGAATCCACTGTATAGATGCAAGGATCACGCTGCTAGACAGGGGTGATTCAAGCAAATCTGGTGATCAATCAGGAGATTAAGTACACAAGACGACATGGGGACACCGACCGCTGAAAACGAGCGACCGCTGAGTCTGCGACGTCAGAACACAACCTTGAAACTAATACTGCCATTCGGACACAGAAACAGCCAGCCACTACAGACAGACGCGGGCAGCTTCAGCAAAAGGCAGCGCTAACAGAAATAAACACACATGCGCACGGCAAACTACTCCGGTGGCGTCATCTCACGGAACATGCTTTGGCAACCCGTCATGAATAACCTGACCTGGCGCACACAGGTCAACGAAGGCTCACAACCAGAACGCCGCTTTGGGCACCATTTGGAAACCTTTGACAGGCACCGTCTCTGTAAGCTGGAGATCTCAATTCCAACAGTTGACCTGTGCTCGGGGCCCACCCGTGGTTCTTGACGACCTCACTCAGTGATGCCTGCCGTGACTTTATAGAAAGGCTCGCATGGCCAACTTCTCTCGCTGCTCAGACAATAGCCGGACAATATCTTGATCACCTAGGGTCGGACGGTCTTGACGCAGCTCAACTTTCTCTGGACAACTCGTGGAAGCTGGAAACAATCACTAAGCATGTATGACGTAGTGGAAGCACCATTTCGACTCCAAGTTCCGATGTGATGAGACGGGAACACTCAGCGACTTAAACAGAATTATTATGTCAGCAGGCAGCTGCGTAGAAAATAAGGGAGTAGGCCATACCGCAAACATTCTTCAATCCTGTACTTCCAAATCTCCACAGCCGAACATGGCCTGCGCTTGAGTTGAACTGGTGAGTTGAGTTGAGCCCCGGACTCTTATCTTCTGTCGATTCTTAGCGTCCAAATCTATCAGACTCTGGACTCAACAGAAACAGCTGAAACAGCTAGCTAGCGACTTCACCGAGTCCAGATAGCGACCGGACAGCGCATTTCAGCGACTAGACAGCGCCAGGCAGCGCTACACAGCGCCAGACAGCACCAAGACAGCGCCAGGCAGCGCACTTTGGCGACGTTCCAGCGCAGTTCGGCGAGCTGAGCCTCCTCAGAACCGCTGATCTCCCGTCCAGCCATCCTCCCACCGATGCCCGATTCCCCGTCCTTTACAGCTCTACCCTCCCTCCCCGGCCGAGGACGCGGTGTTCCTACAGCGGACCGCTCTCCTGATACCCGCTGCCCTGTCCGGCGCCCGGCCCCCGCGGCCCCCGTTCGGGCACCTCTGACTCTGAGACGCTGCGCGCCGGTGTGGCGGTGCCGGCGTCGGCCGCGTCTGCCCGCTGCAGCGGCGGGGGCCTGGGCCGGTCCATCTCGGCCTGCAGCGGGTGTCGGCTGTCGCCGGGCGCGGGCGGCGCGCGCGGCAGCAGCTCGCGGTCCTCCGGCCGGCCCGACTCCTCGGTGATGGGCCCCAGCACCGGCGTGGTGGGCTCGCTGTCCAGCGTGGAGCCAGAGCCGGGCGTGGCGTACGAGGGCGCCGACTTGTAGCGGGTGCGCTGGCGCTCGGCGGCGCGCCGCTGCTGGTCCATCACCATGTCCTTGACGCCGGCCACGCGCAGACTGCCCACGCGCGGTCCGGCGGCGTTGGTGGATGCGGCGCCTGTGTGCAGTACCGGCGGTTAGTGGCAGTACGACCGGGCACGGCGCCGGCCGCGGGTCGGGGCAGCGTGCGGGCAAAACAAGGAGGCTGAGCAGACCAAATAAAATAGCTGACCAGTAATTCAGCTGACAATTAAACGCATCAATTGATAAACTAAACAAAAACAAAGCAGCACAAGCAGATTGCCAGCCAGTGCATGTGAACTGTGGGTGTTATTAGATCCCATAGACCGCCGTGTCTACGCACGACATTCTCCATAGAAGATACGCTGTGTCGATCTTAGGCACAGGAGTGAAATACGTTTTAGATGTGGCAGTCTGCGCTCCTGGTTTGCGCGCGCGCACCCTCCCGTCGCCGCGGCCTCCCGTTAGCCGGCGGCAACATTGACGAGTTAACATTGACCAGCGTATGCACAATACATATGAGAGCCCGGCAGTGGTGCACCTGCACCAGCCGCCACTACGTTAGAAGACAAACAACAACGTTAAATACGCTGAAAGCACACCGCGTGTGCACCGGAACACACCAACTACGTTAGGTTATAACACGAAACAATGCGACAACAACAGACATCGACACAACATGAAAATATACATCCCAACACCGTATTTGTGCATCCTGTGAGCTAAACAATACATCGGCAGAGCCTCTCCATGTTCGATACATACGGCTTGCGATATACAGTGTGTTTTGGACGGCACATCTACAGAAGCAGACGATACACAGCCGGTAACGGCGATTTTACGATGGACGGTGTACACACACTGTGCGGGGAGAGCCACCACCGGGGACAGAAAGCAGGCACATCCACACGAGCCAGAGATATGGACACACCTCCACGTATATCCAGATCTGTACCATACAGACCTCCGCCCAGTAACCTGACTGACAGGGCGGGCGCAGAGCCCCAACTAGGTGGTCAGTTGTACAGTCTGTCTTAACAGTACAGCGCAAAGTGACGGTGGATCCATCAAGCCTGACCGAGGAAGGGCCTGCTAAATTTGAGTCAACGAAGCAATGGACATCCTCGTCCAATCCCCAGGTCAAATAGTTCGGTGACTTTCAAATTATAGCAGGCCCTTCCTCGGTCAGGCTTGAAGGATCCACCGTCACTTTGCGCGGTACTTTTAAGACAGACTGTACACGGATAATAAAACGCAGGCTGGACAGGCTGAACAACCCCTAATGCGTGCAATGTGCAACCCTGAGATGTATGACAGGCACCTGTACGTACACTAGGCAGAGTATGTATAAAATTTATGTAGTTTAAACGACAATGATGTAGGCTTCAAGCATCGACGATAGATAGCCTTTTGAGCGTTCTCATCTTCAGCAAAAATCGCTTCAGAATTATCCCAGGACAGAGACAGCAATGCAGCTGAACTCCGATTTAAAATGTTTCCCTGTAACTACACGCCAATATAAATGGAAGATGTAAGTGTAACTTCAACACCAAAGTATGCAACTGAAGACCAATTTCATCCCGGACAAAACATCTCAATCGCAGGAGTTCCACCGGCAACACAGCCCCACGCGGCGAACGGACAGCGAGCAGCCCTGTGTGATAGACAGTCCAACCCCGGTCGGTCTGCCGTTACACACTGGCCCTCAACTCACGTGGGAGCGACTCGGACGACGAGTCCATCTCGCCTGTGGAAACAGCGGAAAGGGGTCCGCTGAAGTCCCGCGCACTGCGGACCTGGTCACCCAGCCGGGAAGGGCGCGGGCATCGCCCAGACGGCAAACCAAGTGGAGCGTACGATGCTTACAATGCAGTTAATAGCTCAATTCGTAAAATGTAACTAAAAGGCAATCAAAGAAAATGTAAGCGCGTCAAAAAATGTTATAATTCAGCATTGTGAGAAAAATTGACAATGAAATACAAAACCAAGACGGTAATGTCACTAAAGATGGGCAACCAATAATAGATATGTTGGTTTAGTATGTTTACTGAGTTATATTTCTTTAGGGTTATTACAATCATCGATGTTATTTTATCGGTTGTTTGATTAAGATGATTAAAAGAAGTGCATCTTAATTTTGCTTTATAGTAAAGCGTACGGGTGAACAAGAAAAAGCGTTATTGGATTATGTGTAACCAAATAATGCTTGGCTAGTTAGCCACACAAGCTTTTTGATAACGTGGTAGCTGTCAGTTGTTATGGAATTATCGTCTAAGAGCATTGTTGAGCGTTTTAAATTATCCTGACCAGTTGCATGAAATCAATGCAATTAATGATTCGACTTAGCAATCTGCATACCAATAACATAGGCTGAAAGCAAACGAAAACTTTTGGTAAGCGCTTCGTGATTCATTTCATGATGCTTGTAAATTTAACAAGAGGCTAAGATCGATCCCTTGTGGCATGATAATAAAATACTTATGTCACGAAACCAAATATCTGGAGAGGATATAGTGGTCGAAATATTATCGTGAAATTTCATGCAAAAATAAAACAAAATGAGCAAAAATAAATAGTGTGATAGTAGAGAAAGTGCTGTAAATGATATATGATACCAAAATAGTGGAAAGATTTCCGGCCGTGTCGACGAAAGGAGAACAGACAGCATGCGACAGCCCCTCCACCAAAACCAGCGGCAAGCACGGAGAGCGGCGACCCATCACCAAAGCAGCGGTGCCCGCGGCGGCGGCGGCCGGCCGGGCGGCGCCACAGGCGGTGCGGCGGTGCGGCGGCGCGCGGTGCGCCTCGGTGCTCGGTGCAGTCGACATCGCTCCAGTGGCGGCTCCGGTCCACTGTGCGGTCATGTTCAGCTCTGTTCAGCAGCGCTGTGCACGCCTGTTCACAGTAGAGTCTCCCACCCTTGGTAGCGGCGTCGAAGGTTGGCGGCGGGCTCGGCTCGGGTTTGGGCGGCAGCTCTGGTTTGGGCGGCAGCTCCGGTTTGGGCGGCGGCGTGGCCCGCTGGTGCTGGTGCTGGTGCTGCGCCGGCGAGCCGGGCACCGTCAGGTGGTGTCCGTTCATGTGGTGGTGGTGTCCGTTCATGTGCGGATGGGGGTGCGGCCCGTGCAGGCCCTCCTCGATCAGAGTCATCACGGACGGATCCAGAGAGTGTAGACGGAACACGGCGGCACGGGCAGCCTGCTCGTGACGGCCCGAGTGGCGATGGTGCACTACCGGGTGGCGGACGACCCGGTCAGAGCGGTAACCCGGTCAGAACGAGTTTACCCGGTCAGAAAGGCCCGGACCCGGTCAGAGTCGCGGCACCACCGTACAAACGGCAAACTCAAGACACCCAGTAAATGTAGGCACGATCAGGCAACCACACAACTACTAAGGCAGCCAACAAAGCGCAAACTGCAGACCCAGGGACGAAATAAAACGGCATTCCAAACTAAACTACGCATACTAGATAATCAGGCAGCAAACATTCCAAAGGTCATACCCAGACAGGGAAACTAGGCTGGCAAACCAGAAACTATAAAGGTGCTGGAAACGATAACAAAATGGAAAATAAAGAAAGCGTGACGAAAAAGGCTAGTGGGTTATATTGACTAAACAGTTGACTAAAAGTCCCTTGCAAATAATTGATATGGACCTTATCAAATTGACGGAAAAAACGGTGTTCAACACTGCTGCTTGGGTAAAAGCTGTTAATTCCTGTCAAACATCTCCTTCGCACGTCAACCACATCAGTTTCATACGGCATTCACCACAGATTCCACCACAGACGGTAGACGTCAGCCCGACAAAACAATGGACAAACAAAGGTAGCTACTTAGGGTCTTTGATGAAATAAGCACCATGCAGTTTACAAGACTTACTCAGAGCAGGCACATAGGATGCATTTTAGCTCTCTGACATCTTTTACAGAGCCCCCTAAACAAGGACCACACCATGACGAAGGACTCGCACCGACAGACCGTCCTGGCGTCCGTCTGGGGACGGACAGCAGGACGGCAGGACGGGAGCACATCTACGGGACGTCTGCTTGGGAGTCGATCGAGGCATGTGTACGGGAAGCAGCTCCACCTAGTCGGCGGAACTTCGCAGCTCGCAGTCTCTTACAGAACTCAAATAAAGCCGCTGTTTCCGACCATCAAGCATTAAGCCTACTGAATGATCTTTCAACAACTGCGCCGCCCCGCGGCGAGAAGCGGAACTATTAGTTCGTCCAGCTGGGACATGATGGCCATCCACTGAGATAGTGCCTACCAAGAGTGCCTACCACCGGGCCCTTCACAGCGCACGGGGTACTGTGCAGCTGGCGCCATAACAGTAGTGCTTGTTCTCTTTCGGAATTACGCACAGCAGTAACACTACTCACTCAACCATGACTTTGGCACATTCTCTACTGAAAGAAGGTGAAAATGAGATGAGCGAGTGTAACACCAACAAACCAGCTTAACCCGCGCCCTGCTGGGGGGGGGGTGTTTGAACACCCCCCCTTGTGGTTTTTTGCGAATATCTCAAAAACGGCGGCGCGGAGCGCCGCCGTTTTTGGTACACCTTATCATACATCAATTCTACACATGTTGTGAAAATTTCAGACCAAGGTCATTCAAGGTCAGGTCACCAGGTCACTTGAAGTGACCTCACCTCATAAAAAGTTTCAATGTCTGCCATAGCTACACCGAGTGACCGATCGCTTTGAAACTTTCAGCGATTAATAAGGGCAAGAGTATCTATCAAATGTTTATCTTGGAATTTTGATATCGGTGACCTAAGGTCAGGTCAATTTTGCGACCTCCCCATTATAAGTCAATGGGAGAAAATTGAAATGCGCCTCTTTTGGACGAAAGACATTATAAACACTCCCAAACACTGAATTACAAGTGGTTTAGACACACTGAACATGAAAATGGTGTCCGTGACCCCCTGTTTATGCCCTGAGGTCATCTTAGGTCACGAATGGTATCTAACAGTTTTTCGCAAATAACTTTTGATAGAGGCATGCTAGAGCGATGAAAACGCCTTAGATGTGTTCAGCTCGACGATACGGATCGACTGATATGCAACATGACCCTTTCCGGTCAGGTCATGACCTTGACCTGAGGTCAAATTTTCAAGTTGACCTTTCAAGGTCAAGTTATAGTTCATTCGATGCGTATTGACGAGAGGAACACGATGCCGGTAAAAGTAAGCTCGTACAAGGCTTGGGTCAAAAGTTATTGCAGAAAAACTGTTTCCGAAAAAATCGGCTATTTTTGCAGTTTTTGCCCCCTGCAGGCAAAACCGTTGACGATAGGTCAAATCTGAGAGAATTACTCAGAAAGGGCGTTAATAGGGCTATCGAATGCGCTTTTCCGCGGCGCTGTAGCTCTATTGGTTCCCGAGTTATGCGTTGGCTTCCTGGAAATTGTCGACATTCGACCTGAAAATCGGCGAAATTTTGCCTTCAATGACCTCTGGTGACCTGACCTTTGACCTGACCAAAAAAGTGACCGAAGTGATTTCGTCATTATTTTTGGCGCTCTTTCGAACGCCGCCTTCCGCGTTTCGCTACGTGGCCCAGGAGCCGAGTTAGAAGGGGGGGTGTTCAAACACCCCCCCCAGCAGGGCGTGGAAATCCAGGACCCCCAGCCGGGCGCGGGTTAAACCTATGTTCTTATAATCTATATGGAATGCATGTTAATAGCACCATCCACCCTGTTAAGTACATTGCATATTACATTATATAACACTCACTAGATAGTAACACCTACAAAAAGGAAAACCTACACTGCAAGCAGCTTTACAAATTGATGCGATAGCAACTAGCCAGTGCGTTCGTTGCAGATAACATGAAACCACGTATCTAAGTCAATAATTAGCAAATACGTGTCAGCCTGCCTTGCCTTAGATAGCTTCCTAGCCGCCACAACTTAACAAAATTCATAAGCTGCAACGGGTTATACTAAAAGAAGTTTGCGATATTTCAAAGTTCTAATACAATTCAAAGACAACTGAATAAGCAATATGACGGCTTCAATCATAAGCTGGCAAGATATTCAGAGGCAAATCGAACGATACTGATTACAAAACAAAACAATACAGAATAATCAAAAACGCTAGATGAAAACAAATATGTAAACTGATACAAAGTCTTAGCCTCATGGCTTCAAATAGCCTCATGTCATGGTAGAACCTGAAATGAATTCGCATTGGACCTAAGCCAGATTGTGCTCGATTGTGCTCAAATACTGTGATAGCCTCTTTACGTACGGAGCATAGTGATAAAATATGACATAAGTTCATGGTCAGCCTCTTTGAATAGAACTTGCTGGCAGCCAAATATCACAAAACGGATTCTACATATTGCACAAAGGCACGTCATGGATCTTCAGAGAGATTCGTGGATTTATGAGGGGCCCGAACGCTTTAAAAGGGACTTAGGACCACTCTGGACACAATCAGACAGACAGTTCACAGGCACAGGCGACTGAGGCACTCACATCACAGACACACAGAGATACTCGACACAAGCCTGTAAAGAGAGCTAATAACCACGTTACAAGTCGCCAGTTATAGACGAGTCAGGGGTTAAATTGACACTACCAGACAGAACCGACACATACAACACCCCACACAGCACAGCTAATAAGGGTAGTAGCTGCTAACTACTGCTCGGGAACACACCGCTACACAAACTAACAGCACCAGACATCAGCTATCCCACAGTGCACAGTAGCAGACAACATCGCTTTATAGAGAAAATTGCACAGACCACAGCTAACATTAGATTCCTTCACCGAATTAATAGCGATAAACGAACACCTAAGACATTCACAGAAGATCAATAACAATATTAACCGTGTCATCCATGCTTACGAGGTTTAGATGACTTCTAACACCCACCACCCATTACTGGTCTTGGACCACTATTTAGTTATAATCATGACTAATTATGAAATATCTCCATTTATCCAGGTTTAGTCTAGTTAAAACCCATCGCCCGATCACCACCTTGCCCAGTCTAACTAACGGACTGGCGTCTGCCCTCCCTTCCCGCCCGGGAGTAGCCCTCAGAGCTCCTCTGCATACCAGCCCCACGTAAGGCCACCTAAACCCGACTGCCCTCATCAGATGACCAGTCCTGGACCCCATCCTCCGCTAGGCCTGTCCCAGAACCTCCCCCCCACACACACACACTCCGTCAGTCTGACATATTCTGACCCCACCAGGTATCCCCGCCCTGCCCGTCCCAGCAGCTCGATTTGCCCTTCCCGTCCGATCAAATCGTCTTATCCAGCCCGTTTGATCATTTCGGCTTATCCTGTCCGCCTCACTCCTTCTCGGGGCTGGGCGGCGGCGGAGGCAGCGCGGCGGCCAGCATCCACTCTCTGGCGCGGCGGCCGACGCAGCTGCGGCAGACGCGGCGTGACACCGGCTGGTCGACCACCACGCCGTAGCGGTGCAGCGTGCATTGCCGGCAGAGCGGCGGCGCCGGCTCGTCCACGCCGGCGCGAGCGTCCCACCCAGCCAGAGAGGAGCGGGAGTTGGCCAGAGAAGCGTAATTGGAGCGAGGGGTGGAGAAGCCAGAGCTGCTCAGCGAGCGAACCTCGTCCAGACTGAAATCCAGGCTGCGCTGGCTGGGAGCACGCCGGCGCAGCAGCCGCCCGGCCACCATAGCGGAGCTCGGTCGGTGGCCGGGAGCCGTCACACTCGCGTCTACAGTCATGGAGCGTTTGGGCGGCGCGAACCGGCCGTGCATCGGGAGCCGGTGGGGCAGCTGCTCCGAGCTGGGAGCGGTCGGAGTTTCGGGCGCCGACGCGGGCGCCGCGGACTGGTCGGGAGACAGGGCCGAGTCGTCGCTCAGGCTATCGTGCGGTGTGGCAGGAGCCGAGGCGGGTAACGACAGTTGCGGGCCTCCAGACGGCAGCGTCTCGCGCGCCGGCGTGGGAGGGGTGACCACCACGGCGCTGGGCACGTTAGCCGAGGTCACCACGGACACTGAGGACGCGCCGTGTCCGCTCCCACCCTCCCCCTCCCCACCCCGGCCTACCGTCAGCTCCACGGGCCCCGCGGCGCTATCCTCCGCCACATACGCCGCATTCTCCCGTCCCTGCGCCTCGGCGGCGCGCGCGGCGATATCCACCCCCGAGTGTATGACCGGCAGGACAGCCGGCCGGGCCAGGCGCGGGTATCGCACCGCCTCGCCGTTCTCTGGGCCGGCCCGCGGGCGCCGCTTGCTGTGGAGACTGTTGGAGCGCGGCCGGGCGGCCGGCGCCGGCGGTCGTCGCCAGGAGATACCTGAGGCGGTGCGCCGCAGCGGTCCGGCCGCGTCCTCCTCGGCTCGCTCCTGCTGTAGCGCCAGCTGGGCGATCTGGCTGAAGCGCTGCGCGTTCATGCGCCGCCGCCGTAGGTGAGTGTCGATCTCCTGGTCTTCCTCGTCGATCAGGTTGGGGTTGTAGCGCAGGTGCAGCTGGGGAGAGAGGGGAGAGAGGGAGGTCAGAGCGGGAGCTGGGAGAGGGACGGGGAACACAAACTGCCTGGGGAGGGGGGGGGGGGCGAATTAGTCTGCCCGCATGTGAAGGAAGTTGGCTGCGTTATGTTTTTAAGCCAACATTATCAGCTGTTAGAAACCACAGACACCAATGTCTCCCTGTCTGTCACCAATGTCTGTTGTTGAAGGCACATCAACGAAGGTATTAGAGGAAAGTCAAGTGATCAAACCGTCAGCAGGAAAACGGTGCACGTCCGTCTGTAATGTAAGCGAATCCGACAACACAAAACAGTCAATGTTTTCCATGTACTGCCCACCCGGCAGCGATTTTGATGAACGGGATCGCAGAAATCGAACTGGGGAATAGATAAAGTATACCGAAACAATAAAAGCAATCATGACAACAAATACACAAACAACAGAGACATAAAATTAAAAGCCTAGCCTAAAATACAAGCGTGCTTTTGTATGGATAACTGCTTGAGCGAACAATCGAGCGATCAAAATTGTCGCGTATTCGGAACCGAAATTGCATGTCAATCAAAGATATAGTGAGAAACCAAGAAAAGAATAGGTGAGAGGGACGCTAGAGTATGAGCTATACATATGAATCATATCAAAACTTTCCTGACCATTTTCGGGCACATACCGAGGCATAAGCTGAAATGAAAAGCGTTCCCTTCCATGTATGCAGTTCTTAAATCACCGTTAGAGAGAAATGCAGCACGCAATGAGGTGAACTTCTATCAGAAACGCGTGCAGCTGCACAAGACAAACGCCTATCCGGGCAAAAGTGTAAATGAGTAGGAATAACGAGAAGGCGATATTTGATTGAGTACGGATACGTGTACGAGTATGTCAGTGTACAAGAGAAAATCGCGCAGCAGCAGGCCAGGGTAGACAAAATGGCAGGTCTGCATTGCACTGCTGCTGCTTTACCATCGACAGAAGGCGTTCCAACACATACACCGACAACACACACACACACACCCGGTACACCCGGCACAGGGCAGCACAGACAGCACGGACCGGTCCGCCGGCCGCGGGAGAGAGAAGGTATAGAGGGAATGCGCACTATACCTTTATCCGGGGGCGCTGCACGGCCAGGTACAGACAGTTATCACCTCAGCCGAACAAGCCACCAGCTTTACAAATCAGCAGTAATTGCGACGGCAAAGAAAGAACCACGTCCCCGGGTGGTAGGTCAAAAAACAGGTCCAGTGCCAAACAGATGGCATACCATGAAAAAAAGAAACGATATCTTAACCCGCAAACGTAGTGTATGAAGCGTAGCTTTTACACTATGCTACGAAAAAAAAAACAGCCGCAGCGACTAGCAAATGATAGCCCACAACTTGTTCCCTCACAGCAATGTGTGCAACCTTTCCTACCCGTTCTCCGCACTCCGTACCTCGCCGTACGGGTTTCCGTACCTTGTTGTACGGTTTTCCGTACCACGCCGTACGGGTTTCCGTACCTTGTTGTAGGGGTTGCTCCTGAAGGCCTTCCTCAGCAGGTGTCCGTCGGCCGGGAACGTCTTGTAGTTGTCGTCCGGGTTGAATCGGCCACTGAGCGGCGTGCCCGGCGCCGTGCCTGAGCCATGCTCCACGTCCACTGACCTGCGACAAGGTCATTAAAGTCAGAAACCAGTGGTAAAGGGGTCAGTTGATGCCACGGGGCATTGATACTCACACCCAAACCGACTCTGACAGTGACACTGGCATATACGCTAAAAACGACACTTTTTTAACACTGGAAACTACACATAGGACACTGAGACTGGTACGGAGTCCGTATCAGCGTGCTTATAATCATCGTAAGCATCGCCCTGCGTCTGGGCTCCTACCCACCCCTGACCATCCCCGCCACTCACTGCGCCTGAGCCGGCGACGCTGAGGTGGTGGAGAGCCTCCTGGACAGCCGCTCCCGGAGTGTGCCCAGCCGGCTGAGCGGGCGGGCCCCAATTGAACTCTGCTGGGACAGTTGGCGACGCAGTGCCTCCTGACGCCGGCGCAGGTGCACCATCTCCTCCTCCGGCAGGAAGAAGTCGCCCTGGGAGAGAGAGGTCAGGTCAGCAGGGTTAGTCAGAGGGGTTAGCAGGGTGGGGGGGGGGGGGGGGGGGTCAGAAAAAAAGTCGCCCTGGCACGGAGAGGTCGGAGGTCAGAAAGGTCAGATGGGTTAGCAGGGTAAGCAGGGGGCGGGGTCAGGAAAAAGTCGCCCTGGGACGGAGAGGTCAGACTATCGTCAGGTCAGAGAGGTTGGAGGGGTAATTAGCACGGACAGGGAAAAAGTTGCTCTGGGACAGAGGTCGGGTCAGCGGGGTTAGCAAGGTGCAGGAAAAAGTCGCCCTGCCGGCGTGAAAACGGAGAGGTCAGTCGGGTTTAGTCATGGAGGTTAGAGGGGTTGGTGGGGTTAGCTCGTGGTAGGAAGACGTGGCTCTACCGTAGAGGGATGGAACGGTCAGCCTGTCTCGGAATGGTTTTCAGGCTTATCAGAGGCAGATGGAGGTTGACAGGAGATATGGCGAGACTGGATTACCTGCTCCGCTCAGTCACACAATGCATAATAGCCAATCAAGCGATACGTTAATATATCGCATATAATCACTGAACTTTGCGACAATGCATTGTCTTGTCACGGTACCTAGCATGGCAGTTCGCTTCAGTGACATTATTTTAGAAACAGGCCATTCGCGATACTACAACGGCGACGGAAGTCTCTGGGATTATCAGATAGCGCTGAATTGCTTTCAAGAAGTTGCAATAAATTTTATGGCGGATCTCTGCAAAGGCCGGAAACGGACTGAGATACATACAGAAGGCAGTCGCCTAGCCGACAACCTATCGCTTTGAACGTAACAAATCTGCCATAAGCGGGAGTGCTTTGAGAGATGCCACGATTTACCCGAGTAATGCTATTATACTTATGTTCTAGTGATCTTGGCTATGCTGACATTTCAAACAGAAAGGTTTCACGCGAATCTTGACGTGACGATGGACATCAAATGGCTGGAGATCGATGAGGATCATGTATAAAGGTGAGTACGAAGCTGAGTGAAGCACTATAACCAAATGAATTGAAAATGACTCATTATAAAACATCGGAATACCAATAGATGCCCTCCATCAAATACCCACCCCGCCTGCCCCCTCAATCTAATGACGCCAACCTTTCGTCAAGTGTGGTGTGGGGAGGGGGGGAGAAGGGAGTCAACGGGCGCTACCCACCTCTCCAGAGCCGACGATGTCAACCTTCTTGGTCTCGGCGGCGGCCGCCGGTCCGTACAGATTGGCGTAGTGCTCGTCCAACACCAGTTTGTCGTACAGCCGCGCCAGACTCGAGTCGAGGCTGTCACTGATCAGCAGCGGCTTCAGGTACTTTTCGTCAAAGTGCTCCAGCCGCTCCTATGTGAGGGAAAGGAGGGTGTCACCGGGGTATATTACAGATGACGCTACGGTAAACGCGCCTTGACGTTCGGGGCCAAATGAAAGGTGGGAAATTCATGAATCGTTCCAAAACACAACACTCACAAACTGAATACGATACGATACACGTGAATACGTCTATCGCATTATCTAATCGTCAACTTCATCTCCTAGATGGGGTCTACGAAACAGTCTATGCAGGTCCATAGAAGACACCTTCTTCACTTTATCCTCCCAGCCCCAATCCCCAGCCCACTTCCTGGCGGTCTCTGATCACCTTGAAGAAGTTAGTGCCGCGGTACCCTATGATCTCCTCCACCCCTGCCGTGATGTGGTCCACGGTAGTGGCGGCTATCTCCTCGGCCAGCGTGGGGTCCTCCGTCTCCTCCAGCTTGATGTTGAACAGGCTCACCAGCAGCTTGATCGTAGAACCCTGCGGAGAGACGGCGCTTATTATAGCGGTCTTAGAGACAGAGTAAGCGGGAATGTGTTTGAGTGATTTTTAGTTATTCTTGTTAACATTTTCCTTTTGACATGTTCAGCATGGTCAGCTCGAGTTATAATAATCAGCTTACTTTTTATTTCCTGTGTTTAATCATGCTTAGTGGTCAATTAGAATGATTTTTTTACTCTCCTGTTTATTTTGTGCTTAATACAGGATAAACTGATCATAAGTGGATCAGTTTGTATCATGCATGCATGTTTCCCCTGTATGAGAAACACGCAACATCTCTGCTCGACCCGAAACTGATCACACTCTCCCATCCACCGCTACAGACCATGCCAGGATCGCGTAACCAGACCCTCCACCGACAGCCGCCGTCCTCACTCTCCCACTCACCTGAATGAACACGGTGAACAGGATGATGAAGAGGGTGGTGGTGACGAAGATGCGCACCGTCATCGGGTCGATCTGTGAGTCCCGCAGCATGACCACCAGCGAGAAGCCCACCGCGCCGCGCAGGCCGCCGTACGCCATAATGAACTGCTCCTTCTTACCGATACGGCGCAGACGACGGAAATTGGCCATCCAACACAGCAGGTATACGCCTGTAGGAGAAATACAAGGTGCATTACAAATGTATTATATGAAATGTATGACGTCAATGACGCGGCGCAGTAAATACAATTGTTGAGCTGCACACCGCAGCCGTACTGATGATTGCTTTAGTCAATCTAGCAGGCATTAAACCCAACAAAACTAAATTGTTGCTTACATTCCAGGCGTTACGTGATCTGCATGAAAGCTTTAAGTTGAGTTCCATACATTATTCTGCCCTAGCGGCATCAGGCTAACTACACACTCTAGTCCCGTCAGGTCTGGCTGGATAGACTCAGCCGGCCCCCCGACCAGGCTCCTCCGTCAACATTAGAGTGAGTGACCGCCGCCGACAGCTTGGCAGATGTCTGTACAGTGTTTAACCATCATCCTAATCACCCCAGTAACTGACATGACGTGGGCACGCGCCGACGCGACACCGGCTGCTGAGCAGTAATCGCCACGCACTTTCAGAATGTGGATCGCTCATGATTGTTCAATACAATACAATACAATACGGAGAGCTCTGAGACAGCCCGACACAGAGAGAGGAGAGGGGTAGCTACAGAGAGGCCACCCACCCCACCCCAGCCCGACCCGGCCGTCGTGGACCGCCGACAAAGGGTCAATACGAAACAGCGCCGGGCTACGGAGCGGAAAGCCTTCCCCGGGGACGGGAGGACGGGAGGGGCGGGGTGATTGAACTGCCCAGCGTCGCAGAATAATGTGCAATGTTTACGGTATACGAGCCGGTTGGGAAAGACGTCAGTCACAGCGTGACAGCGTCAGTTACAAAAGTTACAAAGTGAGAGGCATTACAAGTAAACTTCAGAGCAAAAACTATTGTGAATAATAATTGCTCCCGCAGCAGAACTCCCGACAAGCCACCCGGCACAAACGGAGTTGTAATGGGATTCCGTCTCACCCAATAAATTCCCCCTGATTCATCTCTGATTTAAAAGTCAAATGAGTACTGGATGCATAGTCCAGAAGTTGAGAAGCACAAACTTGATACTTTAAAAAGTTAGGCCTCCCTCCTACCACTTTACAGGCTAGAATCGCGGCTGTACGGCGACGGCTGGGGAGTCGTTACTTACCGACAAAGCGCACCACAAGACAGAGCACCAGCGTCCAGAGCGCGAAGCCCGTGTGCCACTTATGATCGTCACTGACCAGCACCATTCCCAGAAACATGAAGATGATGGTGTCGCTGGTGGAGCTGTTGGTGGTAGGGGTGGGGAGAGAGGGTCAAAAGGGAATTTTGACATATCAACCAAGGCGAGGGAAGATTGTAATACGCGTGGAGGCAAATATGGCTCAAATACAGGGTTATAGACAGCAATACAAAGTGGTCAACAATTATTAATTAACACATAATAACCTGACGTGTGCTCATTTTCTCCTATCCGATAATGGCCAGCAGAAAATTCGGCTGAAACATCACTATATGTCAGCACAACCCAGATCACAACTGTATGTCCTCTCCTTGTTTGTTGATTGGGGCTTTAGGGCGCGCCGACTACTAAGGTCATTCTCTCCATATTCTCTCGAGCACCCCTAGAGGCAGGTCTGACGGCCCACTCAGAAAGAATCAGACCTGTCCGCGTACAAACCCATGCACAGAGTCGGCTCACCTGGCCATGGTGATGAAGTACTTGATGGTAATGTACGAGTTCTTTGAGATATTCTTCATGGCGTAGTGGGCCTGTACGACGCCGCAGCCGACGCAGGCGATGATGCCGGAAAAGTGGACCAGCTCGGCAGAGAGGTAGGCCAGGTAGGCCATCGCGAGTAGGGAGAGCGGCTCCACGACTGCGCAAAAAAAAAAGGTAGAGAAAAGTGAATAGCACAGACAATAGCGATAGAACAATCGTGGCTCAGACAACGTGCATCAAATGAGCAAAAGAGATGATACATCGTAGTTCAAGCACATCACAAGTCATTCACAGAAAACAAGTACAAAATTTACAAACATGGCAGCTTACATAAATGATACAACTAACATGCACAACTTTAAACACCACGAGCCATTGGCAAATCATTCAGAAATCGGTCCAGTACACGGGACTCGGCGACTGTATGACTGCTCGGATACGAACTTCCCCGGCGGAAAAGTGGGTACACGGGAAAAAGAGTGGCAGTGGGCTGACACCTAGGTGTTTCCGGAGCCGGGTTTGACAGTGACGGGAGATCGGTACAGGTCGCTACTTCCTACCGGGCTGAACGGCAGACAGACAGGCAGGGAGACAAATAGACAGACAGACAGACAGACAGACAGACAGACAGACAGACAAACAGACGGACAGACATACAGACCGACCGACCGACCGACCGACAGACAGACACAGACAGACAGACAGACAGACAGACAGACAGACAGACAGACAGATAGACAGACAGACAGACAGACAGTCAGACACAGGCAGACAGACAGGGAGGGGGAGGGGCTAACTCAGACAGCACAGTCACAGACTAGGGGAGGGGCAACCGCCGGGACAGCAGCAGCCGACACCAGCTAGAACCCCGCCTCGTCCGGCCCGGATCCCAGATAGCGAGCCGACGTCCGGTCCAGACGGAGAGACTATTCCCGGCTGACGGACATACTCATAGACATGGACTTTGGACATGGACCGTTCCACACACCCACACACGGAGCAATCTGGCTCCTGGCTTAAAGAGAGATAATGACCTTTTTCCACAAAATCTGAGTTAGGACCATTTTCTGACAAAACACAACAAGTTATAATGTAAATTAAAACCATTTTGCTCAATTCGGTACCTTGCCGCAAATATCTCAACTTGAAGTTACGTTAGCGGGGAGCGCTGAAAATGACCGTTGAAAAAGTACTTACATCACTTTTTGGTACTTGCATGTGGGGCATTCCACGATAGATCGACCAAAAAAAAATTAAATTGACACCCTCATATTTTATTTTTCGCTCAAAATTGGTGTATAGGGTAGAAATGGGCGGGAAAGCCAGCTGTGGCAAGGATAATTTTTTTTGACCTACAGTTTTCGAGATATAGCCTCGGGCAATTCCTGGAGGTCACGCAGCAACCCTATGTTTGGCGGCTCATAACTCAGAAACTATTGATTTTTGTATAAGGATAACTTTATGTCTTCCAACTCAAAATTAACCAAGGAAACTTTTGGCTATCTCGGATTTTCGATTTTCGAAAATTTTGGTCACGTGACCTCTTGACCTATTTTTTGAAGAGTGACCTTGACACTTTCCCACCTGAAAGTTAAAATTTGGTCTGATGACGATTCAAGCCTTATCAATGGTCGTTCATATGCGACAATAAAAAACATGGCTATCGGCCTGCATTGACCTCAGGTCAGGTCATCTTTGTGACCTGCCCATTATAAGTCAATGGCAAAAGTACCGGCTAGGCCACTAAAACGCATCGGACTGGTACAGTTACTTCATAATCATACCATATTAGGTTATTATTGATCACTCTGGTGCAATTTTGCATCAGTGACCCGCGGAAAGGTCATCCGAGGTCACATTATGACTCACGACATTCATATGCCTTTTATGTCTATATCTTTTGATAGAATAGGTATAGGGATTTGGGAAACACATCAATTAGTTCACTTTGGCCAGGCGCATCATGCCATACGCAGCCTTATATGTTAAGGTCATTTCGTGACCTTGACCTAGGGTCAAATTTTGGTCAAATTTCATATTTGACCTTTCGAAATAAAAACTTATACAATTCGATCCGACTGGAAAAAGCAAACACGATGGCGCTATTTTATACATCTGACTTCATAAACATAATAAGATATTGGCGAAAAACGTTTTTATTCCGTGAAAAATGTTTATTTTCAGCCAGATTGAATAACAATATTTTGGCGTGGTAAAGGCATTCGAGGTGCATAGACACGTTGGCGTAAGTACTTGTACCTAAGCAATTCACGCTCATATGACTCGGTGTTGCGGTCATTTCTACAGGTACCAATCTAAAAAAAAAATAGCATAGGTAGATATGTGATGATCAGCAGTTTCGTACATTTGGCATGAATAATAATCACTCACATAAATCACTCACAAGCTCGCTTCGCCAGGGCCAAAACTGTGAAGGGGACGAGACAGTACCACAGATTCTGTCCAGTTGACCTGACCACAGTCCGCGTCCACGAGCTTTCAGAAGATCGGGAGGGCAAGGAAGTCAAAGTGTCTTAGATAAGCACATACAAAGTAGACGAGCTTGGAAAGTTGCACTGTTGGATCGGACCAATGTTGTGTTGTGTTGGTGTGAATATGTTGTCGGTTTGCTGTGTGCCGTGCGTGCCGATTAGGGTGTACATAGGAAAATATTTTATGTGAGTGATTATTATTCATGCCAAATGTACGAAACTGCTGATCATCACATATCTACCTATGCTATTTTTTTTAGATTGGTACCTGTAGAAATGACCGCAACACCGAGTCATATGAGCGTGAATTGCTTAGGTACAAGTACTTACGCCAACGTGTCTATGCACCTCGAATGCCTTTACCACGCCAAAATATTGTTATTTAATCTGGCTGAAAATAAACATTTTTCACGGAATAAAAACGTTTTTCGCCAATATCTTATTATGTTTATGAAGTCAGATGTATAAAATAGCGCCATCGTGTTTGCTTTTTCCAGTCGGATCGAATTGTATAAGTTTTTATTTCGAAAGGTCAAATATGAAATTTGACCAAAATTTGACCCTAGGTCAAGGTCACGAAATGACCTTAACATATAAGGCTGCGTATGGCATGATGCGCCTGGCCAAAGTGAACTAATTGATGTGTTTCCCAAATCCCTATACCTATTCTATCAAAAGATATAGACATAAAAGGCATATGAATGTCGTGAGTCATAATGTGACCTCGGATGACCTTTCCGCGTGTCACTGATGCAAAATTGCACCAGAGTGATCAATAATAACCTAATATGGTATGATTATGAAGTAACTGTACCAGTCCGATGCGTTTTAGTGGCCTAGCCGGTACTTTTGCCATTGACTTATAATGGGCAGGTCACAAAGATGACCTGACCTGAGGTCAATGCAGGCCGATAGCCATGTTTTTTATTGTCGCATATGAACGACCATTGATAAGGCTTGAATCGTCATCAGACCAAATTTTAACTTTCAGGTGGGAAAGTGTCAAGGTCACTCTTCAAAAAATAGGTCAAGAGGTCACGTGACCAAAATTTTCGAAAATCGAAAATCCGAGATAGCCAAAAGTTTCCTTGGTTGATTTTGAGTTGGAAGACATAAAGTTATCCTTATACAAAAGTCAATAGTTTTTTAGTTATGAGCCGCCAAACATAGGGTTGAAGCGTGACCTCCAGAAATTGCCCGAGGCTATATCTCGTTAACCGTTCGTCAAAAAAAAAAATCATCGCCACAGCTGGCTTTCCGGCCCAAAACAACCCCCTAGACGAATTTTGAGCGAAAAATAAAATATGAGGGTGCACAGCTTTGGTCGATCTATCGTGGAATGCCCCATGTAATTTTGTAAAATGAGCGTATTCCTTACATTTGATCTTCATCACATCTAGTTAGTTAATGGTCGTCTATAGTGCCTTCAAAAGATATTCATGGTTTGGGGGTGGTTTATGTCTAAATTTACGCAACTATTTTTCCTGTTCATCATCTGACGCCATATGCTGCTATTTTAGTAGCAACGACTCAATTTTGAATCGGTCCCGCCGACTGCACAATAAAAGAAGATAGATACAACACTTTTGCGGCATCACTGAAAAACTTATGCAGTACTGTTATCAAAATTCTCATAACACCGTTCGACAAACCTGAAGTCTTTTTGAAATAAATATGCTTGTATTTTTCGCTTCAGGCTCTGACGCCAAAATAATGAATTTCGTAGTCGCAATCGCAAGATTTGGCTGCGTTTCTGGCGCATGCCGTTCATTTGTGGCGCAAAATAATACTTGGAAACAAAGAAGAGTAGGCACTGTGTACCCCCGAATTAAAATCTAATTAATTCTAAACCGAATTAACTCTAATTAAAATTAGAATCCTTACAACCAAGCAACGACAAGGCGATAACATAAACAAAAACCCAAGCGTCGCTGTTTGAAACAAAAGCGCCATATACTGCGACTTTTTTTATAGAGAAGGACAACGCATTTCGGTGGGTGTTACAAGTACTGCAAGTACTGCTTCTTTTTTTGCAAAAATAAAAACCTTTTTCACATACGAAAATGTGCTAGGAAATTTTCATATTTTATAGAAACTACAGTAGAAATAGTATAGATGTCGAGTAATTTTTATTTAAGAAAAAAGAAAGCTCATTATCTCCCTTTAAACAAACAGATCAGGAATCCACCACAGACAGCTCAATTAGCACTAATTCCACAGCCACTCCAGGTCTTCCAGATCACAGTTCAAACAGCTGTCGCGCAGCATTAAACAATTAACGAATCCATATCACCAGCTCCTACATACATTCCATGTCCATAGTTTTTTTTTTGCGTACCAACGACAACTCGTGAACTCAGCCCAGTCCAGGTCCATCCCTCAACACAATTCACTCATTCCGCAATATACTCTTTTTGTCATTAATAGCCAAATTCATCCCCCACCCCTTCAACACCTCACACACTCCCCCTCACATCTCCCTCCCAATATCAGTCCACTGATCACCCATCACTTACCCCTGACGTCGGGCGTGTACTTGGTGATGATAGCTGTCAGCACGCCGAACACAATCCCGATGGCCAGGCCGCCCAGCGACACACAGAAGAAGGCGGCTATGGCCAGCAGTACCTGGTCGTAGGTCACTGGTACGTCCTCAGAGTTCGCAAACACCACCATGGCATTATAGAGCACCACAGTGACGGCGTCTGATGGCGGAAGGGCGGGGGGGGGGGTTGTTCAGCGTCATGGGGCGAGGTCACGAGAGTGGGCGGTGCCCGGATACCGGCACGAATGGAGGCGTCACGCATGAGGAAATGATAGCAAGCGTCAGAGTTATAAGCTGGATTCACGGTACCGTTAAGCACACAGGCATAATACTGTCTCTTTAGACATCAAGAAAAAGGAAAATAAAGGAACGCCGCAAATGACTGACGACTCGACAGTGCGCATTGCGTGAAGACACGCGGGTCTGGGTTGTTTACAGACTACACCGTGCTGAAAATGGGTGCGAGCCCGCCCTAGCTCGGACGAATAACATCAATTATCAGCCCCAGTGCCGAGAATAACGAGAATGAAATCAAAACGACACTGCGGCAGACTTCGTCACGGTCATTGTTATTGTTAGAAATAACGCGCTGTAGTAACGCATTTGCGCTACTTTCTGGACATGAATATCGAAACTCATCGCGAAAATCGGCGGCACGAACGAAAATCTCCTAAACAAAATAGTAATACAAACGTCAAGCCTGGTAAAATTGGCAGCATTCGCAAGTCCATAAACATTGAAGGTCGGAACCGGATTTATAAGTCATTGTAAATTCAAATCATCCACAGAGCGCTGCACCCCAGCGACTCATGGTGAATAGTCAGCCGGTGGCGTGGGAATTACCCATGGGCCCACAGCGCCCCTCTGCCACTGTTCGCGTCACTGTGCACTGGGCAGCGTCCGTCGGGGTTCCCTAACCGCTGCCTCTCTGGGGGAAAGCAGCTCTGAGCGAGACACAGCCTAAGTTGTTGAGTGCAGAGGCGCCTAGCCGTTCAGGATAGCCGCTCCCACAGGAAGCCTCACTTCGAGGAAACTAGCCCTTCAGGAACTCTTCCAATGAAAAGTAACGTGAAACTCCTTGACGAAAGTTGATCGTTTTACATGCTCCCCGATGAAAATGATCGTTTGACAAACCTCGAAGAAAAACTCATTACGAACACTGCCCTATGAAACTGACCCATACAGAGGCTATTCAAAATGAAACTGACCGTTGAGGAGACTCTCTCCGAAGACGAGGAAGTAGAGGTCCTTGTTGACGCCGACCTCCTGGAAGATGGCCAGCACGGCCACCGGGTCCACGGCCACGATCAGCGAGCCGAACGTCAGCATCTGCACCAGGCTGGGGAGCACGTTCAGGAGGGAGGTCAGAACACTAGCCTCGGGTGTCGAAATTGGTCCTAGAATGGGAAGCGTATCCACGATGAAGCTGAATGGTCAATGGCGATGCTTTTCATTGTCTGACAGTATAATAATGACATTCTGCATTCATCGAACATGGTAGGCACATCAGGTAGGTCCAAAATGCAAATATAACAAACCAATACCAATCAAGGCAGGACACAGGTGAGGTTTAGTACCCCTATGTAACTCCCGGCTATAGATCAATCACAAACAAAACGTTTACGCAACACGGTCGTTGGTGACAAACAGTTCGCCGAAGCTGGGCGGTCTCCGGCCGCCGCCGGGCCCCTTTCTTCCTCTGTTACCGTCTTTCCCGGACATGTTCAGTCGACCCCAGCCTCCGCTGACACTGGGCGGCATCTGGGGCGGCCGCGGAGTGACCAGCGCCCCTGGTCGGGGAAACCGCCGAGCGCGGCTACATCGTACAAAAGAGGTGATCGAGCCAGACAAAATCACCATGAGAGGGCAATCTGGCGGCGTTTATCAGACGTTACACAGCTGCAACACATGTAGGGGCTGCTGACAGTCGACAGACGACAAGGTGTTTGCAGAAAGGAGTGGCCAGTTAGTGTGAACTGTACATGTGTGCCCGTGTGTTTGACGAGTTTCTTTTGTCTATATGCTGGTGAGCTGTTGTATGCAGACCACCTGACGAAAACAAACGTGTAGGAGGCTGGATTCGGAGGGGAACACTGCACACAACCGTTTGTTCAACGCCAGGAGAGGGGAGAAGGGCTTTCCGGCACGTGAAAACGAAACAACATGGCTTAGCTTTGCACGGGATGAGATGTAAAGGCACCAACCTGCCCTAAGAGACGTACAGGGCTGGAACAAGACAGTTACAAGACCACTCTTACCTGGGTGACGATCAAGAATCGACCTGACCAGGGTGACGACTAAGACCCTCTTTGAAAGGAAGGACGTCCTACCTGATCTGGGAGACGTCGTAGTGGTCGGCCGGGATCATGCTGGAGCCCATGGCGCCCGCCTTGGCCAGGCCCCACAGCGCAGGGCTGATAATGAACATGTTGAACAGCGTGCCCTGCCGGACGAAAACAAACAAACGGGTCAATAAGAAACGCACAATAAAGCCGGGCTTATTCACATCCACAATACAAAATCACTACATTCGTGTTTATTGTGTAATCAACGAAGAGCTATTTCCGAGATTGAAAAACAAGTATTCGTAGTAAAATTTCATTAAAGCTTCATCAGTTTCAGTTCATTGACGTGTTCCCTGCCGTCTCATTCCAGCTCTGCCGTCACTCCATGTTCGTATCTGGTGCGCCATATCATGCAGTATCATAATCACTCCCCCATGTCTCCAAGGATTTTCCAACGCCCTCCCCCACTGCCCACTGCCTTCTGACGTGTCCTCTCCGTGCCCCCCCCCCCCCGCGCCCCACCAACTCAACAGAGCCTGTTTGCCGGGCACGCGCCGTCATTTTACCATACTGACGTAAATAGCGCACTGCCGACGACAGACCAGCGACCTACTCGGCACCAAGTACACAGTGAGTCTGTCCTCGTGTGTGCGTGCGTGCGGACGCGTCTGTTTGTGGGTGGGGGAGGGGAGGGGCCCATTGTGGGAGTGGGTTTATCCACGTTCATAGGTCGAGATGACACGCGACTTCGGACGCATATACGGATGCTGCGCAAACACATTTTTGAATGAGCAGGAAGCAAACCAGAGCGGAACATGAGGGACACAAAACACAGAAAGTTAAAAGCGATACGATTCGGATCCGAAATCACCTACGTGTGGCTGGACCCCAACTAGTAGTCCATATCAGCACCATTCACATCCGTACATGGCTGTGATGTTGCATCACTTTTCAACCAACTTTACCCCCCTTGGTCTATTCTCATGAATAGATTAGCCGTTAGCATTCTCAACTCTGATGCTCCAGCACTACAGCTGCCCCAGCACACTCTCCAGCTGCTCCAAAAGTCCCACTGCGGCCAAATGATCTATAGTTCAACTATCCGATCTGTCAGTGGCTGAAGTAGTCCCATACTTCTGTACGCAACGACAATCGGGTCACTGAGGCATTCAGATGACTTTCAGGTCCCTGCAGGCACTCAAGAGTACTTAGATCCCCCGGTGGCACTCAGACAGCACTCAGCTCCCCCGGTGGCACTCACGACGACGGCAAAGATGAGCACCGATCCCAGGTTATCCATGAACGCCCGATCGTGGAGGGAGTAGGAGGCCTCCAGTACGATCCTACGAACGGAACACGGGGAGGGACAGTCAACGGCCGATACATAGCGTCAGTCACACTCGACAGAGGTTTTCAATCAACCATTCATCAGCGATTGTGTAGGTAATGAATTCGTGACAGGAAAATCACAAACAAAGCCACAACAAAAGACCACAACACACACAAACGATATTGCTACGATACACACCCAAACATCTATAAGCCATTAGGCCATGGTAGTCTCGGTCCTCCCACTACATATAGGGTGGAGTTCCAACGGATACCAGCACCGGTCAATGCCACCAGGTCCAGAGAGCGCATATCGGAGGGTACAGGGCCAGCCGGCTAAACATAACAGGTATACAGGGTACGAACACATTACAGCAATCACGGCGGCATCAGGTACTGTACAGAGGGGCGTTATACACCTCATCATGCGGCCCGCCGAGACTATAGCGATCAATTTCGTTGTGTTGAACGTCCATACGTATGTATCCGCAGCGATACTATCTGTAATCTGTCCGCCGACACTATCTGTATCGGCGATACCTATCTGTAAAAGTCGCCCCGCTCGGTGTAAAGTGTACAGACCGGTCGCCGGGCGGGGCAGGGACGACACGCCTATCAGTGGTCCCCGGTCGGAGCGGGAGCGGCAGCTCAGAGCTGCTGTCTGACCTTGTGAGATACACAGTCGCGTGGCGGTGATTAGAGCACCAGTAGTGAGAGCATCAGACACTACGCCAGGGGTGAGATCGGAGAGGAAGATCAAACAACGAGACACCGGGGCAGCTAAAAAGTGTAATAACAGAATTAGCATAAATGACAAACTATCTTTTGTTTCATCTCACATCCGGCATAAACAATAAAGAAATGTTTTTACGCCTAAAAATGTTTCACATATCCCACTAAAATATTTGAGGTAAATTATCAAATTCGAGTAAAATAGGGCGAGTTTTGTAAAAAAAAAAAACATACTGGCAGCGGCAACAAATTGTTATCGGAGCCAGCGAAGCGAGTGGAGTCTTTCCTTAGATTAACGGAAATTTCTGAGTATGAGCGGCCGGCCGGCCGGCCGTGCGGACGCTTTTGCGAGGCTTATATCTCAGCAACCACTTGACCGATTTACACGCGGTAATTTTTGTAGGGTAGCTTCATTCCTTCTACCAAGTATTGGACTATTCCCGATGCATGTGGGTGACCCCTTATGCACGTGCCACGTGCAAAACGAAGAGATGTCAGTTTTGTAATTGTTGCAATATCTCGGTAACTACTTGGCCGATTGCGCTGAAAGTTGGCATGCAGGTAGGCACCCACTAGGCACTGCATACCCATGTGCCAGAGTTGGGGTGCTGCTGCACGTGCGCACGTGCAGGGGTCGTTTCCAGATCTCGAAAACGGCTGGACCGATGGCGCTCAAATTTGGTACACGGTTAGGGACCAGTTAGTAGGGTGCCGTGCACAAGTCAGTTGGGACCCATTTTGCACGTGCGCACGTACAGGGTGCCGCTCCCAGATCTCGAGAACGGCTGGACCGATTGTGCTCAAATTTGGCACATCGCTAGAAACCGGTCAGTAGGGTGCCGTGCACAAGTCAGTTGGAGGTACCCCCTCGAAATTTCGCACGTGCAAGACTCACCCCCTCGCTCGCTCCGTTAGTCGCCCCAAAAGGCGCTATACTGGTTTTAAATATCGTGAAGTGAACTTTTTTTATATAATCACTCAACCCTGCTAAAACTAAACCCTGATCAAAGCAAATACTGGCTCTGTCACATCACCGGCCTATCTCTGAGCCATTCGGACTCCGTGACCTCCGTTCGAGTGGATAAATCCGCGGAGCGTCGGGTGTCGCGGAGACCGGAGAACTGTTCAGCAGCAGCCAAAAGACTCAGCCGCCGGCGTGTCTGGGTCGCTAGCCACTCGATAGATGGATTTGACGATGATCGCGGTCCGGGACCTATCGAACTGTGTCTGGCTGGGGTCTATCGAATTCCGTTCCCGTCCGACCCCAGGCCTATCGAGCTCAGTTTTTCATCCGGCCACGGACCGGGCAAGACTGAAGGTATCGAACACCGGGGGCGTGAGGGAAACTCAAAAGGAACGTCTCATCTAAGCGCTTATGTGAAGCAGGTCAGTACTTATCAAAGGACGACTCTGACGACTAAGAGAGCAGGCAGTGCAAATTTAATGATGCAACCAGAGCCAGAACAGAAAGATCCAGTTAAGACAGCCATTGACACAGCTATTGTAGCCAGATGATTAATCGTCCAGCAGTGACCATCCACCTGACCAACCTAAATTGTTAGATCAACACCGAGACACGCATCAAAGCAGACCGGCAGGATGGGACCGGTTTCGGAGACCCTCCGCGGCCGGACAGACTTCACTCTCCAGATGCTCCGAGACGACAGATGGTTTGTGTGCCTGAACAAACGGGAACAGTCGGCTGGCGCCAACTGACAGTTGATGGTCCATCCGGTATCGATATTGAGCATCTAGCAGCAGCTAACAATAAACCAGGAAAAGTCAAGATTTGTTTCTGAAACGCTGCATTCGAAATCGAGAGAAGTTTCAAATCTTCTAGAGCTAGTGCGCTGTGTCCTAACAAATAATGCCACTTAAACAAACTTCCTTTTTGGGACTGGTCATACATAATGACAAGCACATTATAACGTGTAACTGAACGGTCTGTAAGCAGCGGCACCACTGTAGCCCGGCACCAATACCCCCTAATTGGGCCAGCACCACCGACAGTGACCCAGCCCTGGCCCGGCCTGCGTGCGGCGGCGCCACCCACGCCACAGCGGCGAGCCATTACCGGGCTGTTTTTGTCCTCTGCAGGTCGATACTACGCCTTGAGCCACTAGCGGCGACAGACCACACTCCACATTCCAAAGTGATAGCCACAGTGTCCACTGTCCATTCTCGTGACAATGATGTCTGCTGTCCAGACCACTGGCTACGAACTTAGACCTCTACTATCCACTCCACATTGCCCACCCCACAGAGTCCACTCAGTCCAGTGTCCACTACACCCTTCACCCTCCACACCCATGCCCACTCCACAGTGGCCTACGGCGGCGTCCACCACTCCAGTGATAGTCACTGCAGTGTCCACTCCATGATAACCAGTAGCCACCAGTCAGTGTCTAGACTGGGGCTATTTGAGACCAGACACAGCAGCTGGTTTATTTTAGAGTCAACGCCTTCAACGTCTAACACAGGAAACGAATGGACCCTCCAAAGCCTCCCATCAGTTTAAAAGCGCTAGCACGAAACGCCAGACCTTGCAAAGAAAGGAGCTGGCTCAACAGCTAACATGACAGAGATTAAAGGTCAACTATCTTCGGAATTTATCGAAGACATGTTAGCGACCTAAAGATTAGGGCACTTCAGACAGAGAACTAACAGGGCCTATCACAGACAGAGCATACTATCGGTTTGTCTGCATCAAAGAGCAGTTCACACACTTACTAAGAAAAAAAAAAACGACCACGTAAAAAATATTCGACAGCGAAATTGACCATTACTTTGCCCTTGTAACCGCTGTTCGGACATCGCCATTCGTTTTAAAATGGAATGCTCGTTAGTTTATCGTGAATCCACCCAAACACTTCCCACTTAAAGACAAAGCTATATCAAAGCCACCACTCCAACGGAGATACCATCGGTAAAAACACGGACTACTGTGACCTAGAACTCACACATGACGGACCAAAGTTCAGCGGGAACACTGTAAGAGGAGTAGTCATGGCCGAAGCACGGGTGTCCACTCTCACCACTTGATAATAGTAACAACGAAACCCCCTCTCCATTACCCTCCCCCCACACATAAGTAGGCTTAATCAGCAGGTACTCACGGCGCCTCCCTCCCTCCCCCCCCCTCCCGCACACAGGAAGGTTAAGACAGCTGCAGGTACTCACGGCACCCCTACCCTCCCCCACACACACATAGGTGGGCTAAAACAGCAGATACTCACGACGCTTCCCTCACCTCCCCCACAAACACACGTAGGTAGGCTAACACAGCCAGTACTCACGGCGGCAGCAATACCAGGAAGAACAACTCTGCGTCAAACTTCGGGAAGAATCCAGCGAACTCGTCCTCACAGGGAGGCACCACGGTGCCGTTTTCAAACCGGATGTTGGGCCCGTCCTCATTGCCATCGTTCCTGGGCGGTGACGGGTCATAGGTCACAGTCAGGTCACAAGGTCACGGGTGAAAGGTCAGAAGGTCACAGAGGGCGGGGCTGGGTCTGGGGTTATATAAGGCAGGGGTTATTTTGGTCGCAGCATGCCGGGACAGATTAGGTACACAAGGTAAGGGCAGCGGGCAAACACGACTCGGCCCAATTTGCTGAGCCCGGGAATTGATTTGGGGTTGAAGTAAGAATAGCTGCCCAATCACTTATAATCAATCGAGCACTGCTCAATTAAGACGAGCAATACACATAGGTGTTTGTTGTTGAAAGAAACAATATATTGTGTAGCGTAAGCCAAAAGTGAAATAACCTCGAACTAAAATCAGTGATGACATCAAATGGAGACAGTCTTCCTTGGTGTTTGTGACTCGTGAGAAAAGGGGAACACAGATTCAAACTAGTCAGTAGTCAGTCACATTCAGATACAACGTGCGTGAGATGGGAAATCGATGCAATCTAGTAATGACGTATATGTATGACAACATCAACCCCGTCGTTACGATACTGGTAGGAAGTCAAGGTAGTGAAGGTTACAGGCTGTTACTGAAGACAAACGGCCGGGCGGACATCACAGTTAACCCACGGGAGACTAGCACTCAACGGCCTTGTGAGTGGACGGACGGCCAGGAAACGCAGGCACTTTGAATGACGAAGGAAGGAAAATGATGTCAACTTGAAACGTCACCTGATTAGGAAAAGATAGAATCAATTAGTACAAGAGTATGCTAATGTATCTGACGAGGCTTAATGACATTTTAACTGATTTCCAACACGCATTAGCATACAATCTCGGATGAAACAAAATGAGCTGATGTGAAGAAACCCTAGGACATAAAGTAAAAAGGCAAAAAGCATTTTACATAAAACATATTATTCACACGATCAACACATTCAAATTCAAGGGTTTAATTTTCGGTTTAAACAAGCAAAACTGTAATCCAGCTGCCCACCACGTAACTTTCAATTGACCCAGCAATTTGTGCAAACTCAACTCTCAACTCAACCCAGCAAACCGATCAATTTCCAAGCACGGACGACGGACAGGCCCGATCAGCGCGGTCAGTCGACAGTCACTAAGAGTGGCGGATGTCCCATCCGCGACAGGAGCGAAGCTCACTGCACAGAGCCAGGAAACGGCGGCACGGACGGAGGGGAAGTGGCGATACGGACAGCGCTGGAGCCCGGACGGACTGGCCAGCGGGCGGACGGCACGACACACGCACGACACGACACACAGCGGCACTCCCGGCTGGAATGGGCGGTCAACACAGCGGGAGCGGCGGCCGGGAGGTAGGTATCGTACTATCGGTGTTAGTGTGTCAGTGTGGGATGCATTGTCTCAGAGGGGGAGGGGGTATGTGCAGGTGGAGAGGGGAGGGGTAGGGGTGACGACACGCCCCTCGTCCCACAGGCAGGCTTACGGAGCACCCCCGGCGCCGGAGCGGTAACCGGGCAGGAACCAGAACACCCTATAACAAGGAGGGGCATCAGCAACCAACGGTAACCTAGCGGGAACCAGAACACCCTATAACAAGGAGGAGTATCAGCAGCCATAGGTAACCGTAACCAAAGGTAACCAGAACACCCTATAACAAGGAGGGACATCAGCAACCATTGGTAACCGTGAGGTAGCCGGGGAGAGCACCCTATAACAAAAAGGGAAGTCAGCTACCACCGTATGGCACAGGCAAGTAGGGTAAGGTGCCTAATTAGCGACCCTTTCCAATTTGCGACCTACCTCCCTACAGAAAAACTGGCAGGAGAAAACGGGGTAAAAACATCGTCAAAAGGTCAGCCAAACTTTGGTTATCAAATTAAATTACTTTCCGGTCGTCGATGTTTCTGGTGGGACGTTTCAGGTGAGTTTAAATAAAAATGACCAGTTTCTTATCCAAAACGTGTGTGTTTGGGCCCTCTCTGATGAAAAGCGATGCACATTAGGATGATGCACCCTTTTTATTCTGAATCGACATTCCTTTTTCAATGGATTGCCGTTTTCCCATAGTGAATCGCTCAACTGTGCACAGCATGGCGGTTAAAAATGTGTCGCAACTCATATTTCCTATTTGCGCCTGACATGGTCGCAAATAGCTCAAGAAGGGAAAGAAAGGGGAAAAGAGAGAAATGAAAATGAGGTGTTGCTGAAGCTTGCAATGTGTGGCAGGTGATGCCAAATGTCGTCACCGACTGCGGCGGTGCCGAATTCAGCGCGGACCTCGAATATCATGCGAGATAGACCGCAAAATTTGGGTTTCCGCCTTCTTTTCGCCTTCGGTGCATTACGTGATCAGTTTTTACTTACGCAAATGTGTTGGATAAACGTCCCTGTTCGAGTGATTGAGTGCTTTGCGTAGTAGGTTACCTTTTTGAGATCATATTTTATCTTTTCAGGCGTCGCATTTTTTGCCATTTTTAATATGGGGAAACCCATAGACTTATTAGCGACCCTCCCCGGTCGCTAATCGGGAAGAGTTCCCTATTAGCGTTTTTTGCAATGGTTTGCCAAAATGCTCACTAAAAATAAGTTAGTGAATATTGGGGCAGAAAATGACTATATCTTAATAGAAAAATGAACGATCTCTCCGAAAATCAAGCCAGTAATACAGTGGCACCCACAGAGCGTGAGCAATGACGGTTCAAATTAAGGGGGTCGCTAATTAGGCACCTTACCCTATACCGCCACCATCGTAAACCTAGCGGGGGCTAGGGACCAGAGGAATAGGATGATACCAGTAACAAATGGTAACCAGGCATGCCCAGAATAATAAAACAAAGAAGGAACACTTAATTAAATGGAAGAAGAGACATAGACCTTACAGAGTGCACTGCGACTGCATGGATAAAGAGTTGTCGCTAGCTTCAAACCCAGGCCCCAATCCCATGAGATACCAAATAATTAACAAACATGAAAATATAAACGACATTACGTCAGTATTTAAAAAGTGATCAAATCAGTCCGTCATATTAGACGAACAACTGTAGTCGCAGTCAAATCACATTTTTACACATGGTCTCCAGTATCACAGATGGCATGGCACAGTCTCCTCACTCCCCATCCACGCCCTTCAACAGGTGGACAGGACTGGCGCTCAACAGGTGTCCAGCGGTGACGTTGGACACGGTGTTGTCGGCTCGATCGTTAAACCCATGGACGTCGGCATCCCATGGTCCCCTCCCCCTCCCCGTATGTTGACGGCGCCTTATTGGACCCCAGTACCCAACGCGGTCCATTCCGTGACCGAGAAGTGACAGCCGCCACGAAACTCGTCATACGCTAAAGATACGTCTGTGAGTAGTCTGGGGATGACATACGCCCAGAAACGCACTGGGCACAGGTGTGCTCCACAAAGCTGACATCATGAGCCACTGCTTTACACATGGGACGCCCAGGCGCCACGACACTCGTCATAAGCCTGTCATCCACAGCTGCGCTGCGTCCCTACAGGAAGTATTGCCACATGGCGGCTTCCTATATACGCCCAGACATCTAGCAACAATGTGTGTCTCCAAGAGAATATGGTACATTTAACACATCATCAATGTCTGTCTCTAAGAGAATATGGTACACTTGACAAAGACGCCGCGAGTGCACGCCATTCGATGCGCTCGGTCGGTATTTTCGACCGCGCCGGGGTCGTTCCCCTGCAGTCGCGGTCAGAGGACAGGACGAGGCAGGATGTGACAAAGCGGCGAAATCCAGATACAGCCGCCACTGACACGGGAAAAGCCAGCGTCTCACTGCAGGGATGGACGGATGGAGGCGGGACTGGGAAGGAAACTAGGTGGCGGGAGGGAGGGGGAGGGGGACGGGAATAGAAGCTGGATGGAACTCGACTGAAGACAACAGGCGGTCTCTCTATTCGTCGTCTCATACCAGTGGCTCTCACCGTCTCAAAACAGTCGCTCTAACCTTCCGTGATCTTGTCGTCTGACAGATCGTCTCACCGTCACATAACAGGTGCTCTCACCGTCACATGGCAGTTCCTCTCACCGTCTGAATGCAGGTAGGTATTCTTGCAGTCCGTCGTCTAACAGCGCAACCCCCCCCCTCCTCCCCATACCGCCGCTATTTGTTTACTATGCGCTGGCGGAGGAACAGCCACGCGGCTAAAACTGGCCTAACAGCCACGCGTCTAAAACTGGCGGCCCCCACCGCTGAGGATAGACTAGAAGGAGATTGGCTCGTAAAGTCGACATATTGAGCCGTTATCTCATTGGTTGGTACTAACCTGTGTCGGATGTGATATGTGATGATACCCATAAAGATGCCGAGAATGATCAGCAGACTGCAAAACAGAGGAACGGGTTGATGTCAGCGACCAGCAACTGGTCCTGGACCAGCAACAAGCCTAGTTACTGTAACTGCTACAATGAGGCACTCTATTTCAACTAGCGAGGGATAGTCAAAGAGATGGACATTAATCAGAACAACTCGTGGGCTGTAACTATTCTACAAAGCAACACAATGACAATCATACTTGTCAAAATTCAATTCAAACTCGTCAAAACAGCCACTGCAGTTTCAAACAACGTTAGCACAATCTAACTAGCGACTTCTTCCAATGACGTTAGCAGCAATAGCTGCAGAAAACAGATTCCCAGTTGAGGAGCAAGAATGGCCGACACTCTGACACTGGTACTCACCAGGACTCTGGCAGTTTTGACGACAGGAAGTGGGCGTGGTGGAACGCTGAAAGGGCAGAGCGGGCCGTCAGTACTCTGTCGACATACCGATACAATGTCACACCGCGCTCCACCGACCGGCGCGGCGGGATGGAGCGGAGCGTAGGTCGAACAAAAGACCGCCGCCGCGGCGTTTTACGCCGGCACGTGCCGTCGACACCGTAAATACGTAGAACACCCCGCCCCAAAACACAGGGTGGGATACCAGGCAGAGGCGTATATGGGTGATAGCAGAAACAGTCGACGACACTCGCGACACTGAGACATAAAGACGAAGAACGTCACAAGGTAAACAACAGTCACCGTACGCATTGGGTGAGAATGAACGCCCGGAAAGTCAAGGACAGCCACTTGCATTGAAACAAGATAGCGGAGACAAATACAACTCCACAGAATGAAGATCCTGAGTGATAGAGCAAGAACTACCTCGGCCTGTTGCAGTCTCCGATGCGTAGTTTCCAGTCACAACCCAGCAATAGGCATCTGTACTCGTATGCATGCGTGCCAGTGAGAGTTCGTTTTTTTGTATGTGAAAAAAGACTGCTCATTAATTTTCCAGCATTTCATATCTTGGCAAGCTACACTACCTGTCAAGCGAACTAGCCAAGATTGTTTCAGATGTTGGATTAGACCCTGAACTAAAATAGACAATCCCACCTACAGACAACACTTCTAAAAATATAACATTGCCGTCAACATCACACCTAGGCAGATATTCCTCACTCAATACAGGTGTCTCTGCAGCTTGTGTTATTGGAGCATGGGACGGGGATGGAACCGTTAGTAGCTACACCAGCCTATGTAGTCACCGGCCCATTCACACGGCGCCGCCAGGACAACAGATAAGCGCCCAACGGTGCCTCGGCCTGCAGCGCACCCCTTTCCTTTGAGTCACAGGTAGCCTATCCGGGAGACCGGATAGCCACGTCCTGCCTCTCCCTTCCCCCAACCACGGCTACTGGCAAGTGGTGACGCAAGTGACGGGACCTGGCTACAGTAGTCCGAGTTGTCCATCAGAATGAAAATATTTTGTATACCGAAAGCAGGCCGATATCAGCATAGAATTGGTTTCTTTTTTTTTTTTTGCATATTTTCCGTATCACTGATCCTTATTGTCGCTCTAATCAACCTTACAAATATCAATAAGTCACTTTCAGGCTCGGTAAGTCCATAGGTGCTCTCATTTTTTCTAGCGTTTTTTCAGTTTTCAATATTTTCCACTATTTTAGTTGAAATTTGTTCAGTTTCGGACTCAGCTCTGAAAGTGACACCACTAATCGGAACGGCCACACCCCCGCTGACACCTCGGGTCCAATCTGGCCCAGGCCGGACCAGGTCTGGCCGGTCGCCAGTGACCCTTCGCCCATGGCATTCCGCCACGACCAGTGACACGGTGGCGCCACGGCGGCACGGGGGGTGACGGGTACGCTGGAGAACGATAATTCGACGGCAACAGGGGCACCGGAGGATTCGTGGACTCGGGAAAGGCAGGCCCACAGAGCTGAAGATGTATACAGCGCCCATAGGGTGGTATGATAGACCGAAATGACACATACATAGAGGTAACACAAAAAACGTCCACAAACGGTATAGACGGAAATTCCAGTGCCCGCACATGGTATGGACGAAAATGGCGCTCACAGGCCATATAGACGAGAAAGGCGTTAATTTCAGAAATACATATACATGTATGTATTTACATACATACACGTGCATTATAAACATGTACACGACACAAAGGGACGATTATCAAACGGCACTGTCCCCATAGACAGCATAGACCGTAGTGGAAGTAAAATGGACGGCACCTACAAATACCAGCGAGGTCCGGGAAGGGATACTGTGACCCAGGACGATAACACGGTGGCGCCAGTCTGCGACCTGTCGCCAATACCACGGAACATCGTTACCACGTGCATATTTAACAACGTAGCTAGTGTTTCCTGATGGAAAATTTTGTAGGAAAACAGACGGCGTGAAAACGGATCGGATCGCGCAACCGACACTCTAAGTGCCATTTGAATTACAAATGATGCATAGCAACAATCAACTGTTTCACAGGTAAATCACGTAAAACGAGGCACGCAAGATTCGGCGGTGATGGACACACACGCACGCGGCACGAGCGAATACCACCCGATCGGACACGTGCTTCAACCAGTTCGATCTAGCGCGATCGAGTTATCAGAAGAACACGACAGTAATACCTACATAAATTAGCACAGCATATCTCGCTGGTAGCGTAGTGACGCACCAATTGCGTGCCTTTTACATGGTGCACCACCAGCCGCGCGGCCCATACAGGCACTATCCACGGATCTGCGGTATATTAGAGCTGGCATAATAACCCTCCCCTGCATGCATACGACGCCGGAGATCCTGAAACATGCGACACCCTACAGGATGTAGATATAACTATGTAGTTATTCATCCTCAAAGAAAGGTAAGTGGTCACAAAGTCGTTCTGTGCGTGAAGGACATCCACATAGGTAACATCCGAGTCTAACCGGGACAAAGAGAACCGTTTTAAAATCTTAAAGACGATGAGGTTCTTATTATCCAAAATGGCCGGCGTGTCTGTCCTGATCCTTCTCATATCGTTGTCAAGAGAATTACCGCGGAGTTTCATCACTAATGAACTGAATGCTATAATCACTCAGCGGACTATTGGCCGTTTAAATACAAGCGATCTATGCGTCACACTGCCAACACCCGTGCTCCAGCGTTCAGTTACCCGTATTTACGATAGGGGCGAGGACGGGCTATCGATCAATTGCAAAGAAGCGAACTCGCAGCAGAGCCAACCACACTTCACCCGCGGCCGCACCGACCCCACTCTACACCCATCCCCGCCACATACCAACCGCAGCAGCTGACCTTCGGTAACCACATCGACCCCAAACGCACCCAAGCACATACCTCCTACAACACTCCACCACCCGTCCCCTTCTCAAACTCACCGAGTTTGGCCAGGCCCGCAATAACGATGAAGAGGGTGATGGCATAGTAGGTCTGCACCTCGGTCCATCGCCACGAGGCCACGTGGATACCGTGACTCTCGTGGACCTCCTCGGACTCGACACAATAGGACATGGTGACCACGTCTCCGTGAGAGCCCGAGTGAGCTGAGCCGGCGCCGTGCTCACTGTGCTCACCGTGCACCACCGCGTGCTCACCGCCTGAGAACAGGGGGGGGGGAGGAAGGTGAGAAAACGAGTACCCTCACCGTGCACCATCAAGTGGTCACCGCCTGAAAACGGAGGAGGGGGAGGGGCGATGAGAAGGTGCCTGTGAATTGTGAGGTTAGGTAAAACACACATAAAAGACACATTGAAATAAATTTGGTTACTGCATGCAGCAAGTAATAGGAAACTAATTACTAAAACTTAACATCACAATGCCCCTCGGACAGTTCAAGCCGCCATAACAAGTCAAATTGCTAGTTGAAGACAAAAATGGCTCACGCGAAGAAAATTGTACCGTATAAAAGTGTAACTGACGTCAGTAAAAACATTTTTAAGACCCATATTTCTGCTAAATAAACCACTGACGTCATTCAACATTGTCATTTTAGAAATGACGGAGCGGAAACGCGTCAAACAACTCATCATTAAATCTCCACCGCAATTTTTCTCAGAATACCAGCGGCTCTGACCTGAGCTCGCAACACAAAATCGTCAGACAGGGCACCGATTTCATCAATACATTGATCACAGCGCAGACAGAGACGAGTGCATGATGGGACGGCCGGTAAAACAGGACCCAGTCGGCACGGAAAGTCGCCACCCTCACGTGCCACGACGCCACGGAATGTCACGTGACCAGCACGTGGCTGACACGTGAGGCAGACGGGGCGGACCAGCGACAATTTTATGATAACGGCCAAACAATGCCATGCCTACAAACGATTTAATTGAACTGGAAGTGTGCGTTTTTATTTTACCGTGTCCTGTTCTGACGGGCCATACCAAGCTGTCTGTTGCTATGGCCTAGCTGTTGCTACTTACTGGCAACCAATGTTGAACTTTCGAGCCCCCTTATACGTTATGCCCCGCCCTACTCAGCCCCCATTCACCTACCATGACTTATGGTCGTCGTCCGGTCGGCCTCTCCATGCGTGTTTGTCTCCACCACGGATCTGCGCACGCGCGGCCGGGGTCGTGACCTCATTCGGGTCAGCTCGGCGGCGATGGCGGCCGGTGAGATAGCCTCTGCCGGGGCCGGTAGGAGCGCCAACAGCGGCAGCAGCACGAGCAGCCCGACCACCCGCATGGTGCCGAGCGAGCTTCACCTCTGTGGAGAAAAGGGGGAGGGGTCAGAGAGAGCCAGAGGGAGTCATGGGGGAAGCACGGGGTGGGTCAGAGCCGTGTAATAGAGAATAGAGGGTGAATTAGGGGGATGCGATAGGGGCAAGGGTAGATAGAGGGGGTGTCCTAGCGGGGACCGAGTGGGTCAGACGCGACAAAGGGGAGCATAGTGTCATTGGAGGGGGGGGAGGGCTCGGGACGGCTCAACGGGGTGCCTGCCTGCATAAAGGTAGTAATGGGTGGGTAGGCGGCTGTGCTGAAACGGTGCCAAGGGTACGACCAGGGAGGGCAAAAGAAGGACCGAAAGCATGCGGGGTAAGAGGGTCCAAAATCGGTCCACACGAAACCAGCACGATAGCATGGCAGAGAGACACAGGCGACAACAGGGCATGACAAGGGGGCACACGAGGTCACGTGGTACAACAAGGGGGTGAAGGAGGGGGGGGGGACGTCACAATGACGCAAGGGGTAGATCAAAATACACTTGAACTGAGCGAATAAAAGGCTTCATTGTGGTTTAGAGCAACCAAGTGAAAAAGGTTTCGTGGCTCATAGAGGCCATACGAAAGCGACGATCGTTCAATTGGCACCTCAAAGGCGTAACAGGATACTGGAAAAAGACAAGAGCCGTAAAGAGTCTAGTGACCCTTGAACAACATTGAAAAATGAAAATTGAGCCTCAGTGAAGCCTATGAAACGAAGCGGTAGCTGGTGCAATAGGCGGCGGCCTTTGACGCCGTTGTGAAATGCAATCTGGCGAATGCCGTGTAATAATGTGAACAGCGCAACTCATCATACACCAATAGACTACACCAGCGCACGTCAACCATTCCCTCACTGGACATCCGCCACCCGCTCATTGGATCACCAGCCCTAGTTCACGTCAACACTTTGGTTTCTGCAGAGCCCGCTGTAGTTCAACGTTGCAAAATTCACACTCCGTACGACTGCCTTCCCAATAGAGACGAATAATAACAAGTGCCTGTAACTCTCGCGCTCTCCACGTGGGACAGTGTGCACCAGCTGTCCGCACCAGTCGGCAACCTCAGCCCCCCCCCCTCCCAACGCCGGAGGGGTCAAGAGGTCGCCCAGCACGTGCCATTGTCGGCGGCACGAGGACTGAACAGATGTTCAAATTGGTGCCTGACCTAGACACTAACCAGCGATACCGTAAACTGCAGCATCTGTGCTAACTTATCAAAACATAGCTGATATCGCGGATCACGAGACATTTCACTCACGTCTGCAGTTGTGGATATCGTGGGTTGTATCAAACAATCGCCATCAAAATCGTGCCGGCGGTGTTTGCTTGACATGACTACTACGTGAAAAAATGAGCCAAAACAACGATGGACAAGCTGGAAGCGAGTCAGAGCCCAGTTACAACAGCCGCTTAAACACTTTCGATACGGAAAACAGCTTGCAGAAGAAGGTACAGCAAAAAGCATAAAAACTGGCTAAACGACGAGCCTCTTCTAGCCGGCAAGATTCACCATGAACCTTGGTAATGGTCAAGAGAAACAAGCAACAAACATCGCGTCCCTCCGCTACATCTTATTGATAAATTTCCCTAGCATGGCAATATTGAGGAAAACCGACTTAACCCGCAGTTGCAGACTTGCTATCATTGAGCGGTCTCCAAAGAAAACATCCACCGCAAAATGTACGTTTTTCCTAGGGAAACGATCAGCTTCTGCACAGAGTCAACTCGCGAGCAGGGAAATCACATGGCACTGCTACCAGCAAACGCGGCCGACCGAGCCTCAAAACTCCGTCTGCAGATCTGTTCGGACACGTGGCGTGCTGCTGGCGACCGCTGCTGGCTGACTTTCCTGTCCCACAGACCGGGACTCGGGGACCCGAGAGGTAACAGGCTGACTGACAGGTGCAGGCTGGGGGCCGAGATGGTCTCTGCACGGCAGTGGGCAGACAGCACCGTAGGGCAGGCCTACGGTGCCGCACCGGTTACACACAGCCGGTCAGCCGTCATCGTACGATCGACCGCTGCGGGCGCTGCCTCAGAGGTCCTCCGGCAAGAAAAAAAAAGAATGCGAAAGACAAGGTACGAAATCCGTCTTCCCGCCCGATAAGCTTCCGAAAGAGAAGTTGTTCATTGGGGCTTTTAGGGAAGAAAAGAACAGTCAATCGCTCTTTCAGAGCGTGCCAGTTCCAAGCTGCCGTTCTTTCTTCGGCCGCTACCCAGCTACATAAGAGCTGCCCACTAGCGCACAGCCCGTCAAGAGAACTCACTTTTCACGGAACTCAATGGTAAAGTGAAACATAGCAAGTGAAACAAGCTTTCATGTTCCCCGTCTACAACAGACCTGGCTGAGTATAGTGAGTAACCCAGGGCGGGGTAACCGTTCTCGAGGGAAACCCGACCCGCGCACAATTTCCCACGAAGTTTACAACCGCCGTCCCTGCACGCCCATTCCATAGAAGGACCATGTTATATAACGCTAGGACTTCCCACCTGCTCTGCTTGTAACCATGCACGGTGGGTACACACTCACTGGCTTAGCATGAGTGGCGACAAAACTGCTCAAAAATGCCCCAAAGGTTTCAAAACAAACTTGTCACATGTTACTATCACATGTCACGCTCAACTATGCACCATGATTCTACAAACACCAGCACTTTTCATCCCAGTGCCCGGTAACATTGGCTGTTTTTTGCAACGCACCACATTGTTCGGTCATGCAACGTTCGTCGTTACATCAATTGCATGAATGTGCATCGTTCATAGGAAACCAATCGCATGTGCGATGTGGTAGGCTCGGAGTCATAGATGGCCTAACCATGGAATGAAAAAAGAAACGCCCTCGGTGAGGGCGTGGGGCTTTACAGATATCGTTAGGATAGGTGACTTAGCATGAAACACAATTCTAGCAATCCACGCATGACAAAGCGTGCTAAACGCACCCATCACCACTTTATCCAGCCGTGACAACAATTTTCGTTACCGAAGTGAGGGTGTCCAAATCTCGACTCGTCCAAAAACAGTAGAAACCCCTCACAATTTGATGAACGTGACGTGACAAGGAAATCGGCCAAGAAGGGCCTCCTAAAGTAATTTGAAGAGCCCCTTCGGAATGCCTCCAGGAATACGGTAAATAGTTGGCGGCCATTAAACAGAATGCCCATTGTTTATTGTTCAGCAAGAAGCACAGCTGACCACAGGTGTAATAACTAAACCGTAAAATCCTCGCGTGATGTTAACGATCAACTCTGCAAGCAAGGCATCGCTAAAAGACAAGGGTAGAGTAAGGCACGGTCTTGCCTTCAGATAGATTTATTCGCCTCCGGCCTCCACTACTAATGCAGACTAGCAGTTTGACTTTGAACCACTGACTAAACGATGTTTATTGTGTTGATGTCATCGCGCTGGCCAGTTGGTCTGGCAGACAGCCGGCCGCCAAGCTCGCTGATAAGTCAGTCGGACGCAGAGACCGTTGGCGGAGATCCCGGGAAAAACAATGGACAGTCGGTCGGTCGGTAGCCAACCTAGCCGGGCCTCCCTCCCGTCCTCGGTGTTTACCAGGGGTTGAGGAGGTATTGCTGCGCCACTCAGGGGTGATGGAGGACGGACCAGTGTACGATGAACGTCCCAAGTCAGTCGCCTGTAATCACAGCTGCTGCCAGGTGTGCAGATAATGAGCTCAGAGCTGAGAGGGACGACTCACTGACCGTAGCCAGCCGCCCTTGGATCACACCTTCTGCCAGGTATTCAGGCAATGACCTCAGAGCCAGGAGGGACGGCCAGCCCACTGAGGTACTGGAGAATGCCCCTCTCTCACCTCATCACCCGGGTATGTTCTATTTTCTGCACCCCGCTGTCATCAGCCTCCGGTGCGCCAATAATCGCCCCCTCGGCACCATTGTCCGGCAGTTCCAGCCCGGCCATTGGCATTCAGTACCAGCACGGGCGAAATGGCCGAGCACGATCGGAGACGACGGTCTGCCTTCACGGCGATACGGGGGGGGGGGGGAAGGGGGCCGTGGGGCGCCCCCGTATCTACCGACACCATTCCTGCACGACACGGGCTCGTTAAATTTATGAAATTTCCCCGATGCTAGCCAGTATTCATGCAAGACTTATCACTGTTTTAACAATTGAACTGCATCCGCTAAGTGTCTGCTTCAATTCACACGAATTCGCAATAATTCATTTGGACATGTCATGAAAGAAAATACTCATTTTTTGCCATATCCTATATTGACTGGCTGCCTTCCAGTGCCCAGGCCCCATATCCTGATATTGACGGATTCTTTATTGCCAGCTATATTAACAGGCATGGTACCGAGTCACCCCGCCACAAACCTGGGCCGTCCGGGCCGAGTTATTGACAAACTGAGTTACCCGCGCCCTCTTCAGAGGAAGCTGCTATCTGCAGATACATATAGATAGGTTGCAGACGTGTGTGTATGGACACAAGTCACCTGCCGATAGCACGAGTCCAAGCCAATCGCCCGTAAGTTACAGGGTGGAAAGTAATTACGCGAACATACTTTTTCGTCTTATAGCAATGGAAAAAGCGGCGGTAACATGAAAATTTCATCTTTTCATATATTCCTATTTATGTGCGATAACTGACAAAGGCGTTCAGGCATAATTGACATGAGCATGTCAAGCACTGTTGGCCAAAGCTTAGTCCACGCCTCCTGGAGCTGTCTGGTGAGGCAATCGATGTTGGTGGCTACTAGCAGCTCTTAGACGCTCTCCTGAAGAGTCGCCTGGATATTTTTGATCAAATTGAGGTCTGGGCTATTCCCAGATTGACCATTATATGCCCAGAAGAAGAACGGGTTCTCAAAGCACCAGTCTTGCGTCTTTTTGGCCGTGAGAGGAAGGACTTTATCAATCATGAAGAAGAGTTTCTTTGCGTCGGGCACAAAAGTGCGCTCAATCATTTTGCCCCTTTTGGTGCATTGATGGATTAGATAAAGAGACTCGTCTGGAAGGATGTTCCACTAGTTGTATACTTT